ATGCATCTAAGGAGGCTATGCATCTCCTTACTCACACAAGATCGTGTGGAGAGCATGCACATCACACAAGTCCATAGTAAGCTGTGCGAGCAATCTAATAGTTTTTTATTAGATAATCTATACAACAGTCTCACACATGATTTAGCACAAAAGATGGCTTGACCATGGTTGACTGACAGATAACCACTTCAAGGTGGTTACAGATTCAGAAGTTTTCGATTAGATAAAAGGAAATTCAAAAATGTTATATAGTTTTGCACATGTGCTGTACGCATGTATATATATATATATGTAATTCCAAGACAATAATATATAATTCCAGGACAATGGTAAACATCAGATGTGGCACATACATAGGATCAAGAGTGGAGCAACCATCAGCCACCTATTCTACATGGATGATATCAAGCTGTATGCCATGAGTGAGTTGGACATTGACTTACTAATCCACTTGGGAATTTCATTCGGAATAGATAAGTGTAGGTGGATGATAGCAAAAAGAGGGAAGATGATCATGACAGAAGGAGTTCAAGTACCAGAAGGTCAAATATAAGATGTAGAGTAAAGCTACAAGTACCAGGTGGTACCATAAACACACAGCAACCATGAGAAAGAAGCAAGGAGGGTAGCAACATCCAAGTATCTCCAGAGAGTCAGACAGGTTCTGAAGTCCCAGCTCAGTGGCATGAACAAGATCAAAGCCATTATCACATATGCCCTACCAGTTATCAGGCACCCAGCTGGATTAATAATCTGGCCAATAGTAGAGTTGGAAACTATTCACTTGGAATGGAGAATGGAGGATTCCACCCAAAATCTAGAACACAGAGACTATCCACCAGCCAGAAGGAAGGTTAGGGCCGGATGAGTGTCAAGGCCACAGTCCTGGAGGAAACACAGACCTTACCAAAGGTGAACTGCTAAGGGAATGTCTGAAATAACAGCAGATAGATGATTCCAAAAATGGGGAGGAGATTCCATACCAAGACATACCTCTCCATGGGGTGTACCACAGGCGTATAGTAGATGTGGCTAACATTACAAAATTTTACCTGTAGATGGAAAATACAGGACTGAAAGACAACACTGAGGCACTAATCCTAGCAGCACAGGAACAGGCACGCAGCACCATAGCAAGATAAGAGAGGACCTAAGGTGCAGAGGTCTCTGAGTTAATACAGCACATAGTAGCCGGGTGCACAATGTTAGCAGGGACAGCATACACTGAAAGGCACAGCCAAATTGCTGGGATTGTGTACTAAAATATCTGCACAGAATTTGGGCTGGAGCTGCCTAAATCTAGATGAGAGACACCACAACGTGTAGTTGAGAATGAAAAGGCTAGGATACTATGGGACTTTCAAGTCAAGACAAGCAAGTAGTGGCTTATAAAACTGACAATGTGGTGGTAGACAAGGAGCGGAAGACAGCAGTGGTGGATGTGGCAATACATCAGAAGGAACATAAAAAGGTGGACAAATACCAAGGACTGAAAGAAGAGCCAGAAAGCATGTGGAAAGTGAAGGCAGTAGTAGTTCCAGTTGTGATAGGAGTACTCAGGAGTTGGGGGAATGGCTTCAAAAGATTCCAGGTGTGTCATCTGAGACCCTTGTGCAGAAGAGTGCAGTTCTAGGAACAGTTACGATACCGTGCAGAACCCTCAGATTCCAGGTGTCTGGTAGGGGACCCGAAACTCAGGAATATACAAAAATACCACTCAGAGGGATGAGAAAGTACATTTCTATAGATACACATGGTTTTACTATTTATAGGTATATGTTTGAATACTATGAACATAATTCTATAAACTACTGACAACATTCCTCTCAAATTCAAAATACAGTGGTACCTTGGGTTTACGAATTTAATGCGTTCTCCGGGATGTTTTGTATTGCGAAAAATTTGTAAACCAAAACGTGGTTTCCCATAGGAATGCATTGAAAACCAATTAATCTGTTCCGGAGGTCAGTAAAAAGTAAAAATGAGCTGACATGGAAACCAACCCATAATGCAGAACACACACTAAAAGGCATGCAAACAACGAAGCTCAGCTCCCTACCTTTCCACCGCTTGAGAAATGCACCAAAAGAGTTCCAAAAAGTCCAAAAACCGCTGCAAACATTTTCCAGAATGTCTCCAAAACTCAATGCAAAAACCACTCCAACACCTCCAACGCCTCCACACTTAACACCACATGCTACGCACAGACTCCACCGCTATAAACCTACCAGGCACAATGCATCCGGGTAAACTTGATTTGTATTGCGAAAAAAATTCGTAAACCGAGGCATTATTTTTATAGATTTTCCTTTGTAAACAGAAAAGTATGTTCACCGAGGCGTTTGTAAATCGAGGTACCACTGTACAAATATTATTAGGTTAGCATTTATTTGCAGAAAATGACCAAAACAACATAAAAGATGCAGTGTTTTCAGACCTTGAATAATGCAAAGAAAACAAGTTCACATTCATTCTTAACACAATCTTTACTTAGAGATATTTTAGGTTATTATATGATAGAACAACAATTATAATGAGAGAAAATAAAGGGGGTGTGACATCTTATATCATGGATCACAGTTGTAGCTTCAGATACATTCATTCACTCACGTAACGTTATATACACTGCTCAAAAAAATAAAGGGAACACTTAAACAACACAATGTAACTCCAAGTCAATCACACTTCTGTGAAATCAAACTGTCCACTTAGGAAGCAACACTGAGTGACAATCAATTTCACATGCTGTTGTGCAAATGGGATAGACAACAGGTGTAAATTATAGGCAATTAGCAAGACACCCCCAATAAAGGAGTGGTTCTGCAGGTGGTGACCACTGACCACTTCTCAGTTCCTATGCTTCCTGGCTGATGTTTTGGTCACTTTTGAATGCTAGCAGTGCTTTCACTCTAGTGAGTCTACAACCCACACAAGTGCCTCAGGTAGTGCAGTTAATCCAGGATGGCACATCAATGCGAGCTGTGGCAAGAAGGTTTGCTGTGTCTGTCAGCGTAGTGTGCAGAGCATGGAGGCCCTACCAGGAAACAGGCCAGTACATCAGGAGACGTGGAGGAGGCCGTAGGAAGGCAACACCCCAGCAGCAGGACCGCTACCTCCGCCTTTGTGCAAGGAGGAATAGGAGGAGCATTGCCAGAGCCCTGCAAAATGACCTCCAGCAGGCCACAAATATGCATGCGCCTGCTCAAACAGTCAGAAACAGACTGCATGAGGGTGGTATGAGGGCCCGACGTCCTCAGGTGGGGGTTGTGTTTACAGCCCAATACCGTGCAGGACGTTTGGCATTTGCCAGAGAACACCAAGATTGTCAAATTCGCCACTGGCGCCCTGTGCTCTTCACAGATGAAAGCAGGTTCACACTGAGCACATGTGACAGACGTGACAGAGTCTGGAAACGCCGTGGAGAATGTTCTGCTGCCTGCAACATCCTCCAGCATGACCGGTTTGGCAGTGGGTCAGTAATAGTGTGGGGTGGCATTTCTTTGGGGGGCCTTACGCTCGCCAGAGGTAGCCTGACTGCCATTAGGTACTGAGATGAGATCCTCAGACCCTTTGTGAGACAATATGCTGGTGCGGTTGGCCCTGGGTTCCTCCTAATGCAAGACAATGCTAGACCTCATGTGGCTGGAGTGTTTCAGCAGTTCCTGCAAGACAAAGGCATTGATGCTATGGACTGGCCCACCCGTTGCCCACACCTGAATCCAATTGAGCACATCTGGGACATCATGTCTCACTCCATTGCACCACAGACTGTCCAGGAGTTGGCAGATGCTTTAGTCCAGGTCTGGGAGGAGATCCCTCAGGAGACCATCTGCCACCTTATCAGGAGAATGCACAGGCATTGTAGGGAGGTCATACAGGCACGTGGAGGCCACACACTACTAAGCCTCATTTTGACTTGTTTTAAGGACATAACATCAAAGTTGGATCAGCCTGTAGTGTGTTTTTCCACTTTAATTTTGAGTGTGACTCAAAATCCAGACCTCCATGGGTTGAAAATTTTGATTTCCATTTTTTAATTTTTGTGTGATTTTGTTGTCAGCACATTCAACTAGGTAAAGAACAAAGTATTTCAAAAGAATATTTAATTCATTCAAGTCTAGGATGTGTTATTTTTGTGTTCCTTTTATTTTTTTGAGCAGTGTACATTCACTTCTTAGTAAATAAAAAACATTGCAATTGAATCCCTTTTCCTATATCAGACTCGCATGTGCTGTCAATGGTAGTTACGCAACACTAATGTTTTTACATGCTCACCACTGTTCTTTCACATTGCTGTTGACTTTATGCCATCCCTGGTACTACAAGAAGTTTGAGTATCAGGAATTCACTCCCACACTGACCTACCTTGCGCTCCCACACCGCACCTATTTCTCACTCCACAAGGACCCCGTGTCGCAACCCTCCAGACAGCGCGGTTGATTTAACCACCCACGCCGACCGCTTACCTTCATAAGAACGCCACCTCTGTTCTTGCAAATGCCACTTACCAGACATGGCAACACAAGAGACAGAACCCCGTGTGTACGAACGCCACCTCTGTTCATTCGAACGGCGCTTGCCGACAAAGGCGACAGAACTCTGTTTGCATGAAAGCCAGCGCTTCCCACACACAACCACACAGGAGGCAAAGCTTCGGGAGAATCAAAGGGCGCGCGTGCACCAAAGCAGATCCTTTTTATGGTACAGGAGGTTGAAACCAGGGAGGAGCTACAATGAACAAGACCACCCACTCTCCCTATTTAAACCACACACACCCTTGACTCTTCGCTCAGTTGTACTGTGCACCTAATTGTGTAAAGACCTTCAGTGACTATACTGTTGTATCCTGATTTTGACCCTTGCTTGTATCATCGCTTCTGAACCTGTGCCACCTGTCCTGACCTTTGGCTTCCCCGACTAATCTCTTCGTCTGATTCTTTTGTACTGCGAACTTGGTCCATTGCCTTCAGCTCTGCATCTTGACTCCGTCTACTAAACAGTGAACCCGACAGAACAACTGAGCCACAAAATGGAGCTTGCAGACGTGGCTGAAATGTTCAATACCCTAACAAGACAAGTCACCAACCTGACTCAAGCAGTCCAAGAATTGCAAACGCAAGCAAGGACACCTATGTCTGCTGTAGCTTCCAATTTAGTGCCCATTCCAGAAGATACAGCTATGTCCTGTGAGTTGATGTTCGATCTACAACCAAACATGTACCAAACATGTACCACTCTGATTCCATCAATGTACATATCTTTATATCCCTCCTTTCTGCCGGGACTTTGGCAATTTGGGACTTCGGCACTTCGGTTCGGTTCAGGACTTCGGCAATTCAGGACTTCGGCAATGCAGAAAATCTGTAGGGCACCCTAATCCTACCCTATCTTAACCCTAACCCTACCCTAACACTATCTCTACCCTAACCCAACCTTAGCTCTCCCCTAACCCTACCCAAACCCTAACCATACCCTAACCCTAGCCCTGTCATCATTCACGTAATTTTCCCTCCCTCTCTTGTTTTGCTACTTTTCAGAAATCCGAAGCACTTCGCACTTCTGCAATTTGGCCATTCGGTTGGGTCAGCACTTCCGAAATTCGGGACTTCGGCAATTCGGGACTTCGGTTCTGTTCCACACTTCCGAAATTCGGGACTTCAGCAATTCGGCACTTCGGACATTGGGAAGCATCAGAATGTCTGAATTTCCAGAAATTCGTCAGAATTCACATTCTGAAACAAATTGCGCATGTCTACTCTATATATACCATACTGGACGTCGATATATAGAAAGGTCAAGAGGTTCTACTTCCCAAGCTGTATCAGATTATGCTGATGTTTTTGACAAAAAGGGGGTTGATACTTTACTTCTCCAGCAGGAGCCGGAAACTTCTTTGTGGGGAAGAAGGATGGTAGTCTACATCCCTGTGTGGACTACAGGGAGCTGAACAAGATCACAGTCAAGAACAAATACCCACTTCCTCTCATCCCTGAGCTAAGCGAGAGACTGCAAACAGCCTATGTTTACACTAAACTGGACCTAAGGGGTGCCTATATTCTCCTTCGTGTCAGAAGAAGGAGACACATGGAAAACTGCCTTTCGGTCCCGATACGGACACTATGAATATACAGTTATGCGATACAGTCTCTTCAATGTCCCTGCCTCATTCCAACATTTCCTTCATGACGTCTTTAGAGATCTCCTGGACCAGTATATCATGATTTATTTAGATGACATTTTGATCTTTTCTCCTGACCTACCCACACATCGTTACCATGTCTTGGAAGTACTGAAATGCCTCAGACAACACAAGTTATATGCAAAGATAGAGAAATGCATTTTTGAAGCAACTTGTGTAGAGTTCCTGGGATTCATCATCCAGCCTGGCAAAGTAGAGATGGATCCATGCAAGATCCAGGCAATACAACAATGGCCAGAACCCCAAACTAAGAAACAAGTACAACGGTTTGTGGGCTTTGCCAATTTCTGCAAACGTTTCCTACGTAATTTTTCTCATATCGTACAACCACTCACAAACCTCACCAAGAAAGACGTAAAATGGAATTGGACTCAGTAGGCACAAACCGCCTTCGATAAACTAAAATGCATATACTCAAACAGAATATGCCCTTCTTTTTTGAAGTTGATGCTTCTGATACGGCCACTGGAGCAATCTTATCCCAAAGGGACACCCTTGACTCCTCACTCAGTTGTACTGTGCTCCTGATCGTGTAAAGACCTTCAGTGACTATCCTGTTGTATACTGATTTTGACCCTTGCTTGTATCATCGCTTTTGAACCAGTGTCCCCTGTCCTGACATTTGGCTTCCCCGACTATGCTCTTCCCCTGATCCTTTTGTATTGCGAACTTGGTCCATTGCCTTCAGCGCTCCTCTGCATCTTGGGTTCCGTTTACTAAACAGTGAACCCGGCATTGATTTTGTTCATGATCACAATCCAGACGCTTTTCAATGGGGTATAAGTCTGAAGATTAGACTGGCCATGACAGGGTGATGATGTGATGTCCTCCATCCACATCTTGATTGACCTGGCTGAGTGACATGTATCATTTTACTGCTAGAAAAAATCAATCCTAAAACTTGGGGAACACTGTTAGGGCAAAAGGAATCAAGTTTTCTTCCAAGATAACCTCACTCCAGTATTCTACTGATCAATCCTTATGGTCTTTTACAAATCTCAGTCTGGCTCTTCTTTGCCCCTAATTGATAAAATACTGTTTTTCTAGTTTTGTACAAGTTCAGCCCTGACCCTGAGAGCTTGTTCAAGCCATCTTGGCCATGTACTCACCCCAGCTGCCTTTGCCTACTTTTTCTAGGTTCACTTTATGTCAGCCTATGGTTATTTGAAAGAGTTGGCAGTCATCCCAGTCACTGGAGTCATTTCCCCCTATTATGGTTATTAGCTTTGTTGTTCCCAATGTCTGCTGCTTGACCTTGTTCTTATTAACTTCCCACTTCAAAATTTTAAGGATCAAAGCAACCTGGCATTCACTCTATCCTTCTACCAGTAAAGCCAGAATAGAACCCTTCTTTTCCACACTCAAAACATGTTTTTTAAACTCCTTTGGTTTGATCAAAAGTTACTTTTTGATTCCAGTTGGTTTTGAGGTACAACATGTGTACTATCCAGCTCGTCCTATAACAAGAGACTAGTGTGGGTCACTGCAGTGGTTTTTAGATGTTTCCTCATTAAATCATATTTGGTTCAGGTGATTACCTAATCAGTACTTCATCAAGTAGAATGAGTTGTACCTGTGTTGGAATTCAACAGACCTTGGAATCTATTGTATATGTTCCAGGCCCTTCCCATATCAATCCCTTCTTTTATATGGATGTATAGCATATGACACCTTAACGAAAAACAGTGGAGCAGAGCTTTGCTTCCATCCCTTGTACACTCTCCCATGTCAGACTTGTAATATTGGAAAAATAGTAGCCCACCCACACCCTTTACTCAGGAATATTTTGAAAAGATGGCAACAAAATAAAGATGCATGGCAATTATCTACAGAAGTGTCTCCCCTGTTTTCAGTTGCAGACAATTCCGATTTCCAAGAGGGTCAAGGAGCAGAAATGCTCAACAGTTTATTGGAGAACCCAAACCCTAGCCTTTCTTCTATAATGATAGTGGATAATCTCCCAACTATAACAAGTTTATTAGATTCTACAATATGCAATTAATTTTCAGATGTTATGAGAAGTACTAAGTTAATCCGTTTTTTTAAAAGATAACTGTGAAACCACAGTGGAAACAAAAAACTTAACCTCATTTAAAAAATATATGAAATTATTCAAATAGAGTTAAATAGAGGGGGAATGTTAACATTCCGGAACAAATGGATGAGTAATTTACGTATACAAATATCTGATGGAGATTGGTCATTTATTTTTAGAAGGGCAATGGAATCCTCTGTAAGCTTAATCAAGAGGGAAACCTTTGATAAACGCATAGCACGATGGTATAGAACCCCTATTAATATCCACGCCCTCCATTCACCCACTAGTGATCAGTGTTGGAGGTGTGCGGAGGAAGAAGGTGATATTAAACACATATGGTGGTTCTGTAAAAATATACAAATATATTGGGATGGAGTCATAGAAGAGATTTGAGGGGTACTTCCTATTGATTTTTCGGTTTCCCGCAAACAAAAGCTATTATGGCTACTAATGGGGGAAGGAAACGCACTCATTCCAGTGTATTGGAAACAAACTCAGATACCTACAACAGAACAGTGGATAGCCAGAATTGAAAACACGTGTGTAATGGAAGATATCCACTGGGCTGTGAGGGGTAGGAAACAAAATTATCTCAACACATGGATCCCTTGGCTGAGATATTGGGCTACTGTTATATGATCTTGGACAAAATCTCCTGAAGCACATTTAAAAAGTTATGTGTTAGATTTCACGTGATCTTGAAAGATTAAGGTCTATATTCCCCCCTTTTTTTTCCTCTCTTTTTCCAATTTTTCTTTTTTTGGTAGTATATAAGTAAATATGTTCTATATTCTTTTTGAAATTCTTTATTTTTGCAGTGCAGTTAATTACAGACAGGCTTGTGATGCCACAACAGCATCGACATGCGTTCAGTATCATAAATGCTAGTACATAGGTATGGCATGTGAATACATTGCACTATTTTAAGGTAAAGTAACGTGAAACAAGATACAATAGACTAGGTATAAGCTTTTACAGAGCCAATAAAACTATGCAGATAGTTAATATGTTCTATAGTTTAACCTAACGTCTGACAGCACATAGCTAATGAATACCGGTACTTCTCTCTTTTTTCTGACTTCTACTACAGTATCATTATGTGGCAGATATGTGTGTATTTGTTATCCACAGAGCTATGTAAAATGTCTTATGTAACTTTTGAAATACCAAATAACATTTTATATAAAAAAAAAAACCTTGGAATGGAATGGCTGCCACACATGTAGAGATGCGATTTAATAAAACATATACGAAAATATATGGCATCTTATTTCTTTTTTTCCAGAACTGTGTATAATAATGGTATAATTAAATAGACTCACAGTGCTGAAATTTGTTATAAAATAAAAAATGGAGAGGACTGCCAACATTTTGCCCAGAAGCAAGTACAACTGGTAGAATAACATAGAAAAAGGTTTGAAATTGAGCTTGAGTTCCCAACGCACATACTGTGACACATACACACCTACAGACCCACACACACCTTCACACAAATGCATAAAGCCACACAAATACACTAGTCCGTCAAACAGCGCGTCCATGTCACAAACAGATCACAGACATGCCCACTCTATTAACCAGCCCACACCCCCAGAGACAGGGAGGAGGAAGAATATTATGCAATGGTGAACATCTTTGCCTGCGGCCAATAAGCAAATATACTTTATTACGGTCTCGAGACACAGCTACTTTGGGTTGTTGGGAAGAACATCTGGGTCTCCTTTAAAGTGCTAGTAATTTTTACTTTTAGAAGTGAAGTGCACTCCTTTTTACTACTTTTTTTATTTTTAGAATATATTCAATAAAATGATATCATGTATTGTTACTGTTATAGTGTACAATTCTCTCTAAAATTAAGTTAAAAAAAATATTTGAAAAGAATATACTCAATACTATTAACAATTATCGGGATTGTCAGATTTGCAAAAAAATTAGCTAAATTTAGCGCATTGTACATTTTCAAATATTTTTTAAATATTGTCATTGTTATGTTATCTTAGCAATTCATTAAAAACTGCATTCAACTCAAGTCTAGAGTCAATATGTGATGTCCCTTTAATGACAGTTGAACTGTGAATCACTTTCATAAATATTCCTTTTGAGAAAGAGTGTATAAAAAATCTTTCAAACATATATGTAAAGAATGTGTTCATAAACCTGTTTCATATTATATATTAGACATGTCATGCAGACATTAATACCTTCAGCCTTACAGTATTACCGTGTGCCTAAAAACACATGTTCCTATTGTCAAACTCTGCTACATATAACTTAGCCTTGTACCTAACGTTCAGGGGATATTAAATTATCTGGATTCCCACTCTCCCCATATTTTTAATGATTAATGACTTTGTACAAGGTGGCAAAAGATTTTTGTCAGCACTTTCTGTAAACAGGAGCTATGGCTGAAAATATATTGTTATAAGCTTTAATCCTAATAATACAGACATTGTGGTTTTTCAGGAATAAAAAATAATTTTTTGTAGAGGAAGTCCTAAGCCTAGTGGATCTACACTAAATGCCTCACTATCTATATTCCATCAGTCACCCTACCTAGTTTAGTGTGACTGAGCATGTGCATATAACATATTTGGTCCCTGTGGTGCTGAAAGGGCATAAACATGTTTAAGTAGATGAACTAAAAATGCTTATGGTATCTGTGAAAACCTGAGATTTAACATCCATGGTGACTGTGGAGGATTAATAAAAAGTGGAATCCCCCTGAGCTCAAAATTAACCAGAGTGCCTGAGCAATGACCCCTCTTTTAGTTTTATTACATACTATGAGGGAAAGACCATGTTTGGTAGGGTGTGGTGTATTGTGGGGTAGAGGAATTAAGTAATGACTGATCAAAGCATCCCCAGCCCTCTAGACCTATAATAAATGGAACGTAGAATCCCCAGTCTCCACAGGACCAGAGGGGGCCCAATCTCTTTGGCCCTATTTACAAATAACAACCTCTGAACTCCTAATTAGGACCATGGAATGCCCAATCTATTCATTCATTAAATAAAAATAAAAACCTCAAAAATAATGAAAATACTACTTGTCTATAGAAATCTTGAAAGAAGATATCCAATATAGATCAGCCAGGAAAAAAAACCATAATCATCTGACTCACAGAAAAAGAAAAACTGTGAAGCAAATTGATTAAAAAAAATATATATATCAACTTTTTTGTTCTCTTGGGAACCTCTGACCAACACAGTGTTTGTACAATGGATTAACTGCAAATGCGTCATAACAATCATGCATCCAGTAATGTTTCTTATAAGGCTGCATATCACACACTCAGGGCTTCTCCAGTGTCTCTGTTTTTCTGGCGTCTGAGCACCTATGGCCCAAACTCCCCTTGGTTCGTTTTCTGCTTTATATCTGTGCTTGCTTGATGCCTGCTATTCTTATTGTTAATCCTGACACTCTTCTTCCTGGTCTATTTTCCTGCCTGATAGCACAAAAACTGCCCTGATTTTCGCAATATTTGCTGTTCCCAGCTCTGTGTATGCAGTGATTTTGCAATGGTGTCTTTCTACTCTAAAGTTTGATTAGTTAAATGAACATTCCAAGTGCCATAACCACTACAGCTCACCCCCACGTAAGTACTTAAACTGTCTTGGAATAGTTTAATTCTTACCTGGGTTTTGCTGGCTGACACTCCCTGTGTCAGTGAGAGCCCGGAGACCTCTGCTTGAAATAAGCCCAGTGTTGCACGACTTACCTTGTTGGCTGAGAGCTATCAACTCCAAGCAGGAAAAGGTGGGATATCAATGTGTTCTAAAATGGTTTGCCTACTTACACTGGGGGCACCAAGGCACTGCAACACAATGTGGTGGTTATTATGGTGGTTTAAGCTTCCCTTTAACTGTGGCCCTCACACACTGAGAGAATGTCCTAAAATATTACCCATGAAAGTATCAGTCTTGTCATGAGAAGCAAAATGGATGTAGGCAATCCATGTAGGCAATTTATAGTTCTTTTTACTATATAGTTCACTTTTAAATAGTTTTATTCATTCTGTTTATTAATAAAGATTCTGTTTTAATAGCCAGTCACTCCAGAGCTCCTTATACTCTCACCATCACTCTGCTGTTCCGGATCTACATATATTGTTCCAAAAAGATATGGAAGGGCTGCGCCAAATAAGGGTAGATAGTCCAGTAAAGTATTGCTAGGGTGCCAATAGATGGTCTAGGATACTTGATAGAGTTCCTCTGTGGATGCGTCTGGTGTAGACCGTATATGTAAATAGAAGAGAGGTAGAGGCGACTAATGGTATAGTATGAAAGTTCAGGGTGTGATAGGTAACAAAAAGTAAAGAACTCACATTCAAGAGAGCTATGGCCAGCTCTGGTGTGGATTGCGTACAGCGGTATAATCCCCGCTTATGGGATATGTAGGGAGGGGGTCTCCGTCAACACCGTCTGGTAGTCCAGAACTCGGAAAAGAAAGACAGAAAGCAACAATAGTGCTCTCAATTTTGATGTGGTTCAATGTGCAGATAAGAAGAGGTAAAAAACTCACATTTGAGGGAGCTATGGCCAGCTCTGGTGTGGATAGCGTACAGCGGTATAATCCCCGCTTATAGGATATGTAGCGGCGATACGTCCGTCAGCACCGTCTGGTGATCCAAGGCTCCAATATAGAAGAATAAAAAGCAGCAATAGTGCTCTCAATTGTGATAGGTTAAGAGAGTAGTAGAGAAAATAAAATAATACTCACAAAGATAGAGCAGAGGTACTGCTCTATGGATAGGCGCTGGTGGTATGATCCCCACCTAGGATTTCTTGGAGTACTGGAACTTTAAAATTGCCAGTGGAAGTAAAAGTAACCAGGAAAGGTTAAAATGCCAGGAATAGGTAAAAAAAAGTTGTTTAAAGTGCATAAAGAGTGCAATAAAAAGAGGATTGGTACAATAAAGTAGCCAAAAAACTTTTATTGATCTAAAATACACAGTAAAATAAAGAATTAATAACCATAAACGCGTTTCACCATAAGTGGCTTCTTCAGAATGGGATAAAAGTAGTAACCTGGCAGGGGTTGTTTAAATAGGGCTATGTTAATTTGAAAATTGCGCCAAAAGTATATATTGTTCCACCTAAAGCTCCATACACTAGAGCAGGTCATTGCTCTAGCAAATGTAAGTAGGTCTAATATTATTTACTTATCCTACTTTTACATACATTCTGTACCATTGGTATACATCCTTATTTTTTTCATATGATGAACCGCACTACCTTGGGAATCTGATACCAGCAAAAAGAAATCCTTAGACGGGGATTGTTCCGTCCAGGCTCCTAAAATAGAGCTTTTTAAGCTCTGGAAAACGTGAGTGTCCCTTTGGAATATCTCTTTATTACCATATTATTCATAACATACTGCACTATCATTGTACTTTTATTTCCTTTTTTTAAGAGTAAGAAACATAATTGCAAAATCTGCTGCTACCTTTGTATGTATGATTTTATTATAAAAAAATCTAGCGCTGTCCACCCAATTTACTAGCTTGTTTTGTTCTATTGTTCACAAGGTAAAAGGAACTCCTTGTTGGTGAATAGCTGCTTTATTGGATAGAGAGCACTTATCACTTTTTTCATTATCTGTAATTTGTTTCAAAATGATATTGTAACATAGTTACATAACTGAAAAGAGACATGTGTCCATCAAGTTCAGCCTTTCTCATACCAGTCGTTGCTGTGGATCTAAAACAAGGCAAAACATCCAGTCTGAAGTGTTTCCAATTTTGCAACAAACTAGAAAAACATTCCTTCTTGATCCCAGTCAGATATCTCCATGGATCAAGAAGCTAATTAAACCACTAATTAAATATGATTTCCCTACATTTTATGCTTTTATTCAATTGCTGTTTAGATTCAACATCTGTATAGACTCTGATAAAATCAACTTTTAAGCAGAGAATTCCACATTCTTATTGTTCTTACTGTAAAAAAAAACCCTTTCCTTTGCCTTAGACTAAATCTCATTTCTTCCAGTCTAAATATGTGACATTGAGTACTATGTATAGTTCTGTTTATGAATAGATATCGGGAGAATGGTTTGTATTAGCCCCAAAATATATTTGTATAATGTTATCATATCCCCTCTCAGGTGCCGTTTTTCCAAATAAAAAGATTTAAATTTGTTAACCTTTCTTCATAACTAAAATGCTCCATTAGCTTTACTAATTTTGTAACCTGCCTATGCACTTTTTCTAGTGCCATAATATCCTTCTTTAGAACAGGTGTCCAAAATTGAACAGCATATTCAAGGTGTGGTCTTACCAGTGATTTATAAAGAGGCAAAATTATATTTTCAGCCCCTATTTATACAGAACAATACCTAACTGGCCTTGATTAACATTGCATATTGCTGCCTAATTTGTTGTGTTTAACAATTCCCAAATCCTTCTCCGGTGTTGTTATCTTTAATTCACTACCATAAGTTGCTTGTGCATTCTTTACCCCGAAGTGCATAACGTTGCATTTTTCTACACCAAATTTCATCTGCCATTTGAGTACCCAGTTCCCAAATCTATCTAAGTCTACAGAGTTTTGTGTCATCTGCAAACACTAAAATATGGGTTTCAATGCCCTTCTCAAGATCATTTATTAAATGTTAAATTGAAGCGGCTCCAGAACTGAAACCTGAGGGACACCACTTACCATTTTTGTCCAGCTTAAAAATGTGCCATTAATGACAACTTTCTGTACTCTATTGTTTAGCCAATGTTCTACCCAAGAACAAGAATTTTCATCTAGATTAATTTCTTTTAGTTTGAACACTAACCTATTGTGAGGAACCGTATCAAATGCCTTGGCAGAATCCAATTAGATCACATCCACTGCAACACCCTCATCTATACTTCCACTTACTTCTTCGTAGAATGCAATTAAGTTAGTTTGACATGACCTATGTTTCATAAAACCATTAGATCTTTGCTGTTAACAATGTTCTTCTCAAGGTATTCATGAATAGTATCCCTTTATAACCTTTCAAATATTTCCCAGCCACAGAAGTTATAACTCACAGGTCTATAATTTCCAGGAAAATATTTTGAATATAGGAATCTGCCTTCCTCCCATCCTCCAGTACAATTCCTGAAAGAAAAGAATCTTGAAAGATTAAATACAGAGGTTCACTTTTTGCCAAACTTAGCTGCTTAAAGGGACACTATAGTCACCAGACCTACAGCCTAATGTAGTTGTTCTGGTGAGTGTAGTATATCCCTGCAGGCAATTTAATGTAAACACTGCCTTTTCAGAGAAGAGGCAGTGTTTACATTGGTGCCTAGGGACACCTCCAGTGGCAGTCACTCAGACGGCATTCAGCATCTCCATGTTCCCCATAGAGATGCAATGAGTCAATGAATCTCTATGAGTAGATGCTGATTTGCACAGTGCGGCATTTTGCCACGTATAGGCGATAGCCTCCTAATGCTTTTCTATGGGAAAGCATTGAATTGTCTAAGATCATCAAGTCTGATGATCTCTGCCAAGGGTATGGAGCATGGGCGGGGCCAGCTAAGACTGTACCCGTGCTGCGCTGGCAAAAGGTGAGCAAATCACCTTTTTAGCTGGAGGTTAGGGGAGTTGGGGGACTACACTGCTATTTAGACCTAAAGTGTCAGGAATTCACTGTGTATATAGTGTTACTTTAAGTACTCCTGGATGAATACTGTCAGGCCCAGAGCTTTATTTACATTAGCTGTCTTTAGCTGCCATAGCACCTTGTCTTGAGCCATCCAATCACAATTTTTATGCAAGTTTTTTTGCATCAATCTTTTGCATATCTCTTGCCATAAGATCCTCACTAATATATACTGAGGAAAATTGTTTTGTAAAATTTCTAAAAGGCCTTTTCTTGGTCATCATTAACTAACACACCCATCTCTGATTTCAGTGTACTTACACTTTCATTTTTTGTTTTCTTTATAATTTCTGTACTTTAATTTTTTTTTTCAGGGGTGGTTTAGCTCTCTTTAGCTATCAATAATGCCTTTTTGCATGCATTATTGGCTTCCTTATGTCTTATGTAGGTTGCTTCTAATGTGTCTGATTTAAATGCCCTTTCCTTATTTTTAATCTCTTGGTTTACTTTCTCACAAAACCATATTGGCCAGTCAATATGGTGTAAAGCTGCCCTTTATTTAGATATTTGATTCAAAATTATTGGATGTAAATCTCCACCAACCACTAACCAAAGACACCCGTATCTTCTCATTGTGTCTTGCTTGTGTGAATATCATTCTTTATTCGTCGATGCTTGGCTGGTTGGTAGACTTAGGTGGAATCTGCGGAAAACTTTTAATATGAATGATAGAGATGAGGAAGACCTGAATCATTCTTATCAGTGATGACTTATACTTATCGCTTAAAAACTAATTCATGATCTATTCTATTTTAAATGGAAAATCTACTGAGGACTGATTGCTTCACCCAGCCATTGCTTCATTCTCTTTTGGAGAATTGTGGAATGTTTTGTGGGAGTCCTTGTATCTTCCACCAACCTATAAAGAAAAAGAAGACAGTGTACTGGGTCAGCGTCTCCTCAAAGCCCATAAGTATTACTCATAATTTTGTTCAAGAAAAGCACAGCCAATGATTACATTGAACTATGGACCTCTGTGTGACTTACAAAGCACTGAGGTTAACTAAGGCTCTGGCTTTGCTGTGAGTTTCAAAGTATGTCATTCCTCAGTCTCACACAATATGATTTTCGTGACACAAGCTGTGAGTTTTCTTACCAATTGTGTCAGGAGAGATGTATCCCATATGCCTCAGTAGATCTCAGATGGTTATAAATCTTGGGAGTAGCTGCTACAAAACATCAGAAATGGAAAACTTATGAACTAATGCATTCTGGTCACAAACAATAACTAATATAGACAAGTTTACCCCACACACTTGGCAGGGAGCACATACTGTCTTTCTGATTTACAATGTACGTGGAGTAATGCAAAAAAAAAAACATACAAGAAACATTTCTTTTTTATTAAAATGATAAGTAGCTATACTATGATCCAGGTGCGGTTGTGGGCAGAGGTCCACGATGCTTTCTCAGGCTGTCTGACTGTTATATGAGTCATAGTCCACACCAGTTAAAGTGCCGGCATTTGCCATCGCTGATGTTTGGTCAATTAAGCAATTATAGCAAGATTTATAATCACAGTACTATGTGATTCCAGTGGAATGGTTATGTAATTGCTGGTAGCAAGCTGGAATCTCAAACACATCCTGGCATTCAGCAATAGACGTTTTTGTGGTTAGAGGTAAGGTTTAAAGGGACAAGAAGACATGTGTCATCTGTGAGCAGCTAAAGGATCCTAAAGAGCTTTTGAATTCTGAATGTAGATCATCAGTTCTACACCGGACATGACATACACAACAGATGAATTCCTGGCATGTTGACAGCCAGGGGTATTACAGGTATTAAGCACCCACCCAGGTAGAAATACTTGGTGTGTAATGTTGCTGTCATGTTTTATGAGCAAAATAGAAAACTAAATTTATATAGAAAATGTATGATAAAGAGAAAAGAGTGTTTTTCGTGTTTTGTTTTGTTTTTGCTGTGTTTTTTGTTTTTTGTTTTTTTACATTTGCTCACTGCAATCCCCTTGCGTCTTAGTATCCTGTAGCAACTTACCCACCAGTTATGGGTGGAAGGAAGTTATGGAGAGAAAGGCAAGGTCGGAGTAAGAGCATACTAGTGACACACGAGAGCCAGGAAGTTAGAGTGTCGTCCAAAACTGTCACCCATGGTTGACCATGCACCGTGTACTCTATAAGTTTGGCTATTTTGGCCTTAAATTTGAGACTTTGACTTCTCCCTTTAGTCAATGGTCCTGTTTCTCTGTTTCAGCTTATTTTTCTCCAGTATTTTGAATCATAACTATTTCTATGGAACTGAATAGGATATTCCAACGCATCACACATACAAATAGCACTCAAAGGGTTGACCAGCAAAATCACCTCTCCTTAAGCTGCAAATACTATGGTTCTTGTATAAATAAAGAACAAATGTTAGATAACATTCTAAAGGTGGCACAACCAGCAGGAAACCATGCATTCCTATGGTAATTTCCCCAATTTTAGAACTTTGCAGAAGAATTGTTTACTATACAGAGACCCCACTGAATCTGAACTGAATGAACAATCTTCAACCCCCTAAGGACAAAAATTCTGGAATAAAATGGAATCATGACATGTCAGACATGTCATGTGTCCTTAAGGGGTTAAAGAAATGTGACCTGTTTCTGTTTGCTGGTTTGACATCCTGTTTTGTGTACTCACCCATCCACATTACAAATGTTCTGCTTCTATATTTACTTAAAAATACTAACCATTCCCCCTTGCAAACAATATGATGTAACTTTCAACTGTTTTACATAAGAATAACAACCACAGATAGCTTTTTAGAATAGTATAAGAAGCCTCTGTCTGTTACTGACACAGAGAGTTGCACATACTGTCTGTCTCCACTTCCATTTTTTTAACCTCAGAAATAATAATTTGCTTTTTTTCTTGTTAGAGCAGTTGCAGACTAATCCGAATCAGGTATATTTTCACCTAGTTGCCTGGACTGTCGCCAGTGCCACATTGGTGGGGACCAAAAGATAAACCAAGTCTTGCAATGGCACTTGGTGATTCTACCCAAAATACACAGTGGTAGGTTTTTCACTCGTCATTTTTTTTCCAGCATACTTAGGAATTCAGGCAGGACTAGGCAGTGCTGCTCAGTAGTAAATTACATACATATTCATCCTGCATAAAATCCCTTAAAGGTACACTGTCCCTCTGCGTGCTGCCATTTAAGTGGCCCTCGGCTGACATTCAGCATCCCCATGCTGTGCATGCAAGCACTGAACTTTCCCCATAGAGATGCATTGAGTCATTGCATCTCTATGAGGAGATGCTGATTTGGGCACAGCAGCATTTTGCCGAGCATGGGCAATAGCCTCCCAATGCATTCCTATGAGCTTGACAAAGACCTTATGGTCGAAATGTTGCTGTGGTTCCAATAAAGTGCCTGTTTTGAACCAAGGAGTGCCTGGACCCCTTTTATTTTATTCAATTGATCCTGGGAATCTGGTGTTTGGTTCTGGTACAGCAAGCACCCTGGCTCTGACTGATGGGAGTGAGTGCAGTTCCATATATTTTTTCAAAGGAATGACCATATCCCTGTGGCACTGGAAACAGGTAAGGTATGGGGGGGACAGGGGAACTACAGTTAGACCTAAAGTGTCAGGAATACACATTTGTATATAGTGTTCCTTTAAGAACTCATGGGCAAATACCATCAGGCCCTGGAGCTTTTATATTTCATTAACTGTCTTTAGCACATTCACATTGTGATGATATTAACTATGATCACCACTACAGCAGTGTTATCTGAAAGTTTTCTGAAAGTGCCTAGCTATGGCCGAGAGTTACTTAAATGGCAGCACGAATGGACAGAAAGCCTGGGGACCTGACATGGTTACATTGTTACTTTTGTTTTGTTTTTTAAAACACTGAGAACATCAGCTCAGGATCTACTCACACTTAACACTTCACCAATTAACTTCACATATGCCCAACGATGGAACGAAAACTCCATAGACTATTTATGAACTATTGTTGTTCAGCAAAATTACTCACTCAATGAGTGTCCCAGCCGCTATTCTTTTCAAAGTTCCTGCTACCTTCTTTACGTATTACTTTGTGGCTGGAGAGTGCATTGTAATGGCAGATGAAAGATAGAGATAGGATGGATGTAAAAACCCAAAAATGTTGCAGCATAGCAGTTTACAGAAAGAAAATACCACTAAGTGAGCACATCCACAACATGATCTTCATACAGTGACCATGTGTCTCTATGTTTTAAGGACAATAGCTATAATTAATCATATCCACTAAGAAAAAGCTTCAGTTTCCCCAAAAAGGTATATTTATAACAATTTACTAAACAGAACTTTATGATTGGCTGCCCATTCATGTTTGCCTAATTTAATGAGAGAGTTATGGTTTTTGCATTCTACGATAAGAAGGGAGTCAAGAAAGTGGTGCAAAGTTTAAAAACTGGGACAATCACCATGAGCAGCAAAGGAATTGTCAGGAATTACACTTTTATTACTTTTCCCCACTTTCCTGGTAGGAACACTTATCTCTAACACTTGTATAACTTGGCACTCTTACAGGAGATGAGTCTGGAGATAGCATTAACTATTTGGTTCCAGGAAGGAATGATATAAACATACAAAACATAGTTACAAACATAACATACAAAGTAACTGTTTTAAAAGTGTCTAGTTTGGATGCAAAGCACATTCACTGTGTCTCATTCTTCTTGTGTTACCTCCCCTTCAGTAGCAGGCAGGCTTTATGTACATTTTATGATAATAACTTATTTTTTGTTTGTTTCTGTTGTGGATTATGGTTTCCCTTGATGTGCAGGTTCTTGATTATTTGGTGCTGCCGCTTTATATTTAGGAAGTGAGGGTCATGCGATAAGGGGCACTTATCCATTGTAGGCGCCCAATTTATTTAATTGAATGTTGGTTTAAACAGCAAGATAGATGACTCAGAACCGGCACGTAAAAGTGTTTCTGAGAAGGGACGGCCTGGGATAAAAAAAATATGCCCAGGCATTTAAAAAGCATTGCTACCCACTCCATCTCATGATTCAACCTCCCTTGATATCCACCTCCTGTCCCATGAGTTGCAAGTTCATGGAGGAAATAAAAAGACACTCATCTCCCCTTCTATTGGCAGCGTACATACATTTTGGAGAGGAAGGGAAATATAAGATTGCTGTCCACTGACGCACACAGTCGTGGGAGGTATGACATCATGCCTCATTAAGAGGCGGGAGTCAGTGAATCTATTAAGAATGAGCCCCATCCTTCTGATTATTGGTTCAGTGTGGTTTTAATATACCCACCCAATTGTCTTTAGCCTTGTTTGCCTGATAGCCAGTCTGGACCTGCTTAGCAATTCCAGTGAGGGTGGTATATTTAAAGTGATACTCTAGGTCAGTGCCAGCATTCTAGCTATAAGAGCATCATGGGAGATGAAGTCCACAACATCTGGAGTGCTGAAAGTTGCCTTCCTATGCTCTATACACTGTAACCAATTATGTTTCATCTCACTGACTTGGTTATTGTGCATGAAGTCCATTGGTGCTTTTGACCCATTTTGTTTAACAGTGAATGAGGGTCCCTTGTCATCCACACCCTGGCACCAACTAGATGTATGGCTAACGCAGATATTACACATTTCATTGAAGCAATAACAAGTCATACCAGCAATGAAGGCTATGATAGGATAAAAGTGGTCAGCTAACACTCTCAGCCAGTCAACGGCTGCCCAATCCTACCAGGCAAATGTGTTCCCATTAGCCCAAGCAGCCCAGAGAGGATTTGTTGCTGGGGTCTCCCGATTAGCAATAAAACATTAAAAGCGGTTTAAAACGGAATGAGAATGCGTTGCGGAGGATGGCAGACACTATAATCACTTCAATAAGATGAAGAAGTCACAGTGCCTCCAGCGTCCCTCTAACTGAGGTAGTGTATTTCGGAATGTCTCCAAACGTTCATAAAGCAATAATAAACCCATTATCATTGAAGAATACCAGTTTAAATATTGATACAATATTACTGGCAAGACAAACGTGATAACCAATAGAAAGTCAGTTATAATCGTTAGAAACTCTGTCCAAATAATTGAATTGAGTGAAATTTTACGTGACTATAAAATATAGTGGGAATTGTACAAAAACACTGGCCAGCCAATCCAGCATTACATAAATAATGTTGAAAAAAACCTCACAGAGTAATTTGTAATCTCATTCAGTTTAATTAGTTTGTTAGAGTCAAGCTAAAGTCACAAGTCAAAATATGTATTAGACCAGGGCTGCCCAAAAGTTAGATCCCCAGCTGTGTGAAAACTACAACTTCCATGATGCTTTGTTATTATAATGGAATTTGAAAGACATGCAAAGCATCAGGGGAATTGTAGTTCTTCAACATCAAAACTCAGTTCACAAGTTGATGTTTAAAAAAACAAATTCCCTAAGTGATAGCTGCCATTTTATTCTATACAGCCTCATTTTCTAGCTGGTGAGTAAACCCAATCAGTCACTACCCTCTTACACCTAAATTGACCTTTATTCACCCACCTAATTTTCCCAAAGGCGATGCTATGCTTTGCTTAATACTGATTATTTAATCAGATTCAATAATTTACATATTAAAAAACAGATGGGGGCTTACTCACTGAACAGTGACTTATGATTGGAAAACCAAATGTATTCACTTTAAATCCAAAATGGAAATAAAAGGAATTGTATACATTTTTCTCCAAGTGAGGCAAATTTGGGTTTCAGTTTATTAAAAATAGTTTTTTTAGTGAATAAACCCCTGTGGAATTTGTTTCTTCCTTTTTATTAAATTAGTTTCAGACTTGTGACATGTCAATAAATTCCGGTGCTGTATCCATTAGAGATTTCCAGGGTAACACCTGGGTCTAAATCAACGCTACTCCAGTAATACAGATGAATAGATACGTAGCTAATAAAACCAGGAATAGATGAGCCAAATAAATGACTACTTCATTACATATATAGAAACACATGGGATATTACGATTTGGATAAAGGATTGTTCATTTATTCGGCATATTGCCAGACAGCGGAGTTTAGAGCCAATAAACCCTTAGTTATAATTTGTATTGAGCTTTCTGAACATCTCAGGACAATGGCCACTTTTCAAATGGGGAAATAGCTAAGGGGTTAAGACCAATTATCTGAGTGAGTTTTGAACAGAGTGTATTTGAAGACTCTCAGCGCAGTTTAAAAGCACCCTCCCTTCCTTCCCCTCCGACCTGGGTGTATCTACTTGTTGTTTTTGTTGCAGCTTTTTTTTAGGTGGAGTGCCTTTTAGCAGCTGTGCCAGATGCACACCTCTCCCTCCCAGAAACCCAAAAAACAAATCAGGCCCCTCCCATGCCTCTTTAGCACTGTGGTTTGCTTGTGTCTGTGCCCATCTGTGTACTCAGGGAGGCAAGAGAAGGGCTGGCAGGGACCTCGTATGACTCAAATATGAGGGAGAGAGGCATATCTTAAGCAACATTGAGACATGGAATTTGGGAATGTAATTATCATATAGCAAGGATGGCCAGAATATGCATCACCAAACATTACAGAACTACAGCTCAAATTACTCTCAAATTACTCTCAAATTGTATTATTGTATTTTTTATAGCTTGATGTCATTACTACAGTCTCTGAGATCCTGAGCCATATTTCCTAACGATATGAATTGTTGCAATATTTCACAGAGTAGATTTGCCAAGGATAAACAAACAGGGTTAATCACTAAAGCGAATTTCAAAGGTCAAAATAGCGAAGTTGGAAACATTCTCTAAATCAGCTATGTTCTCTATTCTCACTTCAGTGAATAACCCTGTGAATGGTTCTCCAAATGTTGCAAACGCCAACGGGGTAAACCACTAAAGTTCGAATGGCCCCGTACTGCAAAATCCAGATTTTCGTGCAATTTATCAATGTCTGGATTTTGTGATTTAGGCCCCAAATAAGTCTGAATTTCGTTCGGATTTCCGCCTGACCAAACGGACCAAATTAATTAAATCCGGACCTGGGTGCTTTAAATACAGACCTGGGTTTAAATAATATCCAAACCATTTGCCCACTTGAACCGCTTCCAGCCAGTGGACAAAAGGTTACAAACCCTTGGCAATGGGGGGGGGTTAATTAGGTTGTGGTTGTCCAATGCTTGCAATCACACTGCCACTTAAAAAAAAAGTTTCTAAAAAGTAAAAAAAAATTTAAGAAATCCTATGGGGTTAGGAGGAGGGCCTAGTATAGCCTAGTGTCCCCCCAACCCTCAACCATTGGCAGCAGGTCACAGCCCTAATGATAATATTAAAGCAGGGAAGACTTAGTGTCCACTCTGACCGATTAGCTTTTGAGGCTCTACCATCAAAAGTTTTCTTTCTTCTTATTATGTACTTCAGCCCTAAAAATGGGCAAACAAAAATTCACAGATTACTATTAACGTAAAGTCATGATTTTATTAATGACACGGAGACTCCTATTATGCTAAACTCTTTCTTTCCATCAGCAGCAAAGAAAAATAACATTAAATCGATATAAAAGAAACCAGTAAATAACATGAGAGGTATATCTTCCTAGCAACAGGACCAGCCAATCAGCATCCTCTTCATAGCATAATAGGCAGTGTCCAGTATACTACTTCCTCTTTCTTGTGATCCCGAACAAGGACAACAAATTCAAATAAAAAGGTGGGCGATATAATAAACCGGACTGGCATCAGGCACATCCACTAGGTTGATAACCATAGCCTGGAACCACACGGGTCCGACCTGATCCTGCCATATTACAGCGACCTATAATCGTCTAGACACACTAGCCATAGCTATGAACTGTTTTAGCGACTACACGCAGCCACCACTAGACTGAAGGGACACCCTACGACTCATAAACCCACATCCTCGGGACAAAGGGCGAGACATTAGACACAATACCCAGATTTAGTCATTCCCACCCTGTTCCCGCAGCTCACGACCCTACAATACAAGGGGCGATATTGACAGATAGGTACCCTCTATCATCACGATTACCCGACTTACATCACTCGTTATAACATTGAGACCAATTGTATCTATAAAATGTTTGTGAAACGATCCTAGACATTTATTTACATGATATTCACTGTTTTGATGTGTAAAGACTACTGTGGCCTTACACATATGTTTGCCATTTTCACGGACGAAAAATAAAGATTTAAAAAAAAAAATAAAATAAAAAGGTGGGCTCCAATAAGAGGGTATGCAAGCCTTAACCTGGACCTCGAAGTACAGCTGGAGGAGAAAGGAGAATATTGTAATATCCAAGTAAAAACTGGATGTATGCATAAAATCGCATTACATGGAATATTGGAATATCAGCTATATATACATAACATAAAATTCGGTTTAGTCAAACCTTAAGCTCTTGACAGTCATTAACAAGGATAAAACCCAGTAATATAAAAAAGACTTACCGTGAAGTCAACTTACCTAGAGAAGACCAAACCTCCAGGGATGGGAGGGATAATATTCGCTTCCATGTCATTAATAAAATCATGACTTTACGGCATGTTAATAGTAAAATCAGTGAATTTTATTAAGACATGGAGGCTCCTATTATGCTAGTTTAAATCTGTGAAATTATGTCTCCTGTGAAGTGTTGAATAGGTCTAAAGTGGAAATCATGGAATGTAGACTCCGAAGACGAGCCACTCTCATAATATCCTCCAAGCGACAGCAAATCGAGTAGGCCTTAGAAGACATTGCCCCACGAACCAAAACACATAGGTCTCAGTACCTGCTAGAGACATAACGTACTTGACCCACCGGGCTAGGGTAGACACCGAAGGTCGCGACTTTTGGAAGGAGATGAAGAGTTCTTGTTTTAAAGGATTCCATAACGTAAGTTCACACTCCCATAAGTATATAATAGGGCAAAGGAGAGATCTATCAGGAAAAGCTGGGTATAAAACAATTTTAGAGGAGGTTTTTGTCCTCCGAGAAATGTCAAAGGGGACACCTTCTGGAGTAAAGGAACGAGCAACCACCTCAAGAGCTTGTACGTCAGAAAATCTCTTTCAATAAAAAAATTCAAGACAATAGAGTACGTCCCACAAGACATAGTATCGTGGTAAGTATGGATGAGCATAACAAATTCCTCAGAGAAGTCGACATATGACAGGATGTCAACTGACAGGCGTCCAATCGAAACTTTGACGACCAGCAGAAACAAACGATCGGTAAGATCGGTAAGGTTCACAGTGCGATAGGCTTTACCTTCATCATACAGAGAAGTCAGAAAAATGGAGGACAGAAATAAAAGCAGCCGATATGGGATCCAGTTTTAATTTCATGCACCAACTATGCCAGCTGTTCCTCAAAGCAGATTTATAAGCTTGTCTCATCGGGTGCACCCTTGATAAGTCAGAGAGTTGATTGCAAAACTCCCTCGACCGACCAAAGTGCCCTAAAATCAACCACACCATGAGATGCAAGAGACCTTGGAGAACGAGGGGATAAGGCACACTGTCTGAATCCTGAAGAAGGCACTCAATAGATGGAAGGAGACGTGGAAGGTCGATAGGCATCTCCTGAAGAGGAGGGAACTATGGTTGGGATGGCGATAGAGGAGCCACTGTCACCAGGTGCCGGATTAGCGACGTTGATGGAAAGGCAATGGGGAAATCGGTGCAAAGGGCGGATAAGCGTAATTCCTCGAAGAAGACCAATCTTGGGAGAAAACATTCGTATCCAGTGCTGTCGGATCTGGTCTCCAACTGAAAAAACGGGGAAGGTGAAAATTCAAACGAGAAGCGAAAAGCTCTATTTCCAATAGACCCCCGTAGGTTCTAGATGTTGGAAGACTGTGGAATCCAAGTGCCAGTCGCAGGAATCTCTGTATTGGCGTGAATACCAGTCCGCCGTAGTGTTGGAGAGACCTTGAATATATTCTGCCATGACTGAAATGCCGTGCATCAGGCAAAATTGCCAGAAATCGCAAGCCATGTAGGTCAGAATTTTGTATTTTGTACCTCCAGGTGATTGATGTAGCGGACAGCTGACATGTTGTCCATCTTCAGAAGGATAGAGCATTGGGCTTGAGTTGGGGAGAAACTGCGGACTGTAAAGGAACCGGCCAGAAGTTCCAAACAATTGATGTGGAGTGTCGATTCCAGGTCTGACCATTTGCCCTTGGTGGAAAGATTTCCACATTGAGCGCCCCAACCGTGCAAACTTGCTTCGGATTTGATTATCAAATCTGGTGCTGTACAGAATATGGTGCATTAATTCCAAGCTTTCATGTGAAGAAGCCACCATTGGAGTTCGTCCTTGGCTTCTGAGTCCAGAGTTACCATATCTGTGTATGATGCGCTGCCCTTGACATGAAGTTTGTAATCGTTGTAGGGCTCGATAGCCAAGAAGACCTGGAAAAATGGCCTGTATAGATGCCACTAGAAGGCCTAACATTCTCAACAGTTGTTTGAGAGAGAGTTGATAAGTTGCTAGTGTGATATTGTGATATTTTGCCACCGTAAGGTGTAGAGTTTGAAGGGTAGAATCTACAATAATCCAATATAACCCAGAAATTTGATTTGTTGCGTGGGAATGATAATGGATTTCTCCCAAATGATCAGGAAACCTAGGTTCTCTAACAGAGTCAAAGTCCATGCAAGGTATGTCTGGATTAATTGAATAGAGTGAGCCAGAATGAAAATGACATCTAAATATATTATAAGATGTACTCCCCGACTCCGTAGCAGGGTGACCATAGGTTTCATGAGCTTGGTGAGCTTTAATGAGCTCCATTTCCTGCACTACCATGTGAACTGCAGGAAGTTCTTGATCTTGATGAAATCTTGATGTTGGACTGCGATAGGCACTGTGAGATATGACTCCTGCATATACAATCTGCTGGTTGGAGCAGATCCCTTAAGCAATGCCCTCCTTCCATCTTGGAAGTGCTGATATGCCTCATAACCATTGAGCTGTCTCAAATTTATCACTGGACGTACACCTTAACCTTTTTTGGGAACCAAGAAAAGGTTGCTCACGTAACCCAGGGTATGGGCCAAAATCTCTACGATGGCTTGTTTGCGCATCAGTTCTTTTATTTCCACAGAGACAAGGTCTGCGTCTTGTTGGGAAAAAAAAGATTCCCTCTGTGACAAACTCCCCTCTCCAAGTGAGTTTGCCACGAGCTCCTGGGGGAGCCTGTTTGCCAGCCTCCTGCCCACAGACTATGGGCCCTGCAGGGAAACCTGTAAACGACTACCAAACTTGACCGACTGCTAGCACTGATTTTCCTGGAACTGTTTTGGGCGTGGGGCAATGCTTGTGGTCGGTCAAAACTATGACTTCCAGGAAATTCCTGAAACCCTGAACCGATCTGGGGGATTTTTGGATATGTTGTTCACCCAGATCGGGGCTATCAGGGGATGTGTGTTTTTGTGTGTTTTTAAGGTACTTTTTGGGGTTTCATAAAATTGTATGTTTTCTCTGTGCTTGGAAATAATTATGTTAGATTAGTACAGTTCCTGATTCAATTATCTCCCAAGCACAGAGCAGGGATTCTCTTGTTTGTGTATGGGAGTGTCTCATTGTATGACTCTGTTTTTATTGATTTGTTCACTTTGTGTCCCTGTGCCCAACAAGGTCCATCTGGGTGTCACCCTTGTTGGGAAACTTGCATAAAAGGCCAGTGTGCATCCATTAAAATGCTATTCCAGCTTACACTCCAAAACTGTGTGTTGTCCTGTTATTGGAGGGAAAGATTTACTTGTGTGTCTGCTGTTCCAGCTTGCAGGGGATTCGACGGGGAAAGTCCTTGTAAGGACTGGAGCTAATTCCCCATTCGGCTCCAGCAAGGAGCGGTTCCAGGGCCCCAGTCAAGCCACGGTGACTGTGGGCAGAAGTGCTGCGGTTTGTCCCCTGTTCCAGCTAGGAAGAGGTCCTTGGTGGAAGTACCCAGCCAGGGGTACAGGGAGCTCCGTTACACCCTCCATGGTAGAGAAAAGTAGAAAAAGGAAGCCTATGCACTACCCTTTCACAGTGTGAAGAACCTAAGCATCTGATAAAATGAAGGAACATACATGGGAAAAATGTGTGAGACTGCTCCCCCACTATCAGTAGGGAAGAATAGAGATTGTGAAGACTTACCATAAGGTCTTCATCCTGAAGGAGCAACTCTTGGGCCACTAACGACCCAGGGTTAAACACGTAGTGGGAAGAAGGTTGGTATAGAGCATTTTGCAAAGAAATCATCTCGGCCAGTATAAGAGCCTTGGTTCTGTCTAAAAGAACTTCTGTTTATTCAGCCAGACAAAGGAGCCCAATTCTTTTACAAAGTTGTCCCCAAAGAGAAAACCTTTTGTCTGTGTTATCTGGCTTATTCAGAGCCATAGTTACACGTTTGGGCTCAATCTTGAGCAAGATAGATTTACGGCATTCTGTGACAACCGCATTGTAACTACTTAAGATGGTGTGATCTAATTCTAGATCATCCTCTACTGCTTCAAAGATCTTGGCTGCTGGACCCAAGATGTCCAGGATTTTATCCTGACAGTTTTTCAATGAAAATCTAAGCCTTTAGTAGGTTTCCATCTTGTCTTACTCAGGAATAGAATGATCTTAGGATCGACTGATAGCGTTTTACAAGTCATCAGGGACTGTTCGGCGTGGGCATTCAGCCCGCAATTTATTTCACTTTGCCTTCTCAAAAGGATTGCATACTCTGGATGCAATAAACTTGGCTACGGGGTCTGAGGAGACCACTGGGTGACATAGGTTGTTAGGTTCAAATAGGGATTCAACTTGAGTGTCCAAGATCCTATCAGTGTCGCGCTATCCGTGACAGGAATGGTACTGTCCATCTCTATTGTTTTGGCTGAGTGTTTAGTCTTATATGAGGGCTTGCAGCCAGGCTGAAGCAGAGCAGGTGTGAGTACAGGTACTCCTCCATATGGGACTCAGGGAACTGCTCCTCAATATCACTGAGCTCAGACTCAGAGTTCAGTTGGGCTTTTGCCCTTTTCCAAAGGAAAACGCAGGAGCTGTCTGTCCGCCACTACAACTAAACCCCAACTTAGATTTGTGGTAGCTGGGGTCAGAGCAGTGACCAGACAGATGAATGAAAGGAAAAAACAGCACGATAGCTGTTCCTTTCTCCACACGCGGAGAGTAGGACGCCCCCTCCCTTCACACCCCTAACAGACCAAACCCCCTCCTCTTTTCCCTCTTCTTTTTATCCTCCCTCTCAGTTAAACCTGGCCCTTACACGCCTTTGCAGGAAAATGTCCTGATATGCCCTGATGCTGGCAGGACACCCTTCCCTGTAATGGGAACCTCACAAACATGTGATTGGCGAAAGTCCATACAGAAGCGGCTGGTAACCAACACCGCATCCAGCAGAGATTGCCATGCACTGATACTAAAGACACAATATGCAGGCCTACTTGACAGGACCAGGCTCCTAGACTGAGGCTGGAGTGGTACCACACAACATGATAGGCACCATAGTCGAGACATGGGGCGAGAATGGGGAAAGCCCACTCGCCCTATAGCTGGCGAACATTTGAGACACAACCTTAGACAAGACACAAGACCTACAGATTGGTCTGCACACCCTCACTATCGTTAGTACCCAGAGACCAGCTTGTCGAGACGAGCGACATACCACCTCGAATACTTTAGGTGACTAGTGTGACACACGATTGAAGCCTGCGAGCCAATGGGGCCTGCGAGCCCACATGGTACATAACCACCACCTTTCTTCTGCTATTGTTGTTTGAGACCTGCGTGTCTCCTTGTTTTTGATATATGCTTGATACCTCAGTTTAATGTCATGTACCGAAAAATAATAAAAATTATATTTACAAAAAAAAAAGATCCTTAAAGACATCCCAGAGCCCCAATTGATGGTAATCTTAGGGCCAGGGATGTCAGAGGGTAAAGAAATTATAAAAGCATATACAATATAGCATATAACTAAATCAAATGGAGTAAATACATCAAATTAAGTTAAAATGAAGTAACTAAATATATTTATAAATATGAAAATATAATTAAAATGTAATAACTATAATAATTACTATATTAACCACAGTAATGATATGAATAAAGTAACAGATCCCACACTTAAGAACTGTGTAACCCAGTGTCACTTAACTGAGGGAGCAGCAAAGAAAGAGGAAGTAGTATACTGGACACCGCCTACTATGCTATGAAAAGGATGCTGATTGGCTGTTCCTGTTGCTAGGAAGATATACCTCTCATGTTATTTACTGGTTTCTTTTTATACTGATTTAATGTTATTTTTCTTTGCTGCTGGGGGAAATAAAGAAAGAGTGCAGCATAATAGGAGCCTCGGTGTCTTAATAAAATTCATAATTCCTGATGCAACTAAATGATTTTCTACAAGTGAAATCTTTGCAGTCTTGATGCATAGGTAGTTTTATGTGGTTGTCAGATTGCCTAGCTATTCTGTCTTATGTGGAACAAACGTCACCAATAATGTGACTAGGTTAACACATTGACTTATGCAGTGATTTTCATTACAGAATACATTGTAATAGCCTTTAATGTTATAGCAAGAGACACACCTTAACAGTCATGTTATATTCCCTTACTAAAAATAATTTCATAATTTGATGCTTTGTCCCTAAATGTACAAGATATTTTGGTAGCTGTATGATAAACTAATAAGAATATTAATATAGTTATGTCATTATTTTCCATTGCTTATATAACACCCTTCCCTTGGTTTTGTATGTAGAATAGTGATCGTAGACTCATCAATGAGTGCTTTAAAGCAAGATCAGGGATAGTTTGACACATATATCAAAGTTCATAGTAAAGTTATTTAATATGAGTGTTCAATGAGGCATAAAATGTGGCATACAAACATACTAACATGTGTTATTAATGTTGGAGTGCTTGACTGCTGCCCCAATACCCACCTCCCGTTGCCCTCCACAAATAAACACACCACTCAATAATTATGGGTAAGGGTAACAGCCACAGCTTTATTAACTTTATAAACAGACCAGCTTTCCATCCAACTGGCAGCTATTGAAGGACTTCCCCCAACAGACAGATTCCACTTCCTTATCCATGAGTGCGTATAAGCCTGCCTACGGCCATCAGCCTTCGGCAGGCTGCGACTCCCCAATTTGACTCATCATTTCCTTCAATTTCCAATACACTGGCCAGGAACACCGCCACCGTGATGTCGAACCTGCCCGGTCCCTCCTGTGGGCATTGCGCCCCCCGCAGTCAGCGCCACCTCCACACCGGACTGTATACCCAGGTTAAAAATATCCAACCCAATGCCCGATAAGTGGACTCCATCTCTCTGCATTAAGTCCAAGTTGTCCCCCTCCAGCTCCACGTGACAGACCACTATGCCACCGAGACATCGAACAAACCTGGCCACCGTCATGTTCAATTTTCGCCACGCCAACATGGGCGCGGAACCATTTAGAACCAAATAAGCGTGAGGTCTCAGAAGAGCGCCATGCACCAGGCCAAATCCAGCTTAATCAGATAGATGAGATCCACTGTCTGAACCCGACCCAAATCATTGCCCCCAACGTGCACCACTAACGTAACTGACCCTGAAACAAACCTCCGTAATTGCACACATTCTGCGTAAAACTGCCCGCAGGAGAGCCCTCGAACACCTCGCCACCGAACCCTGGCCTCTTTGAATGGAAAGCTTAAGTTCCTCCCATGGGACCTTTCCTCTGCTCTGTGCGCTGCCCAATAAACACAAGAGTGACCCAGGATCCAGACAAAGCGCAGGGCACCTATGAGAAAGAAAACATCACTACAGGTGCAGTCGCATGTCCAACCTAAACCGACCCGACTCCCACCTACCCAATCGCTTAATCGCAGCCTCTGAAAAACGTAACATGCCTGCTAGCGTGGCAACACCAATCCGAAAGGAGTGTGCCAGAGACGTCACCACTGCCTGCCAGCAAGACCGCCCTTAACCTAGAGGAGAACTGATATCGAGTTAACGAAGACCCATCGAGATGAACCAACAACGAACCCACCCAAACAAGTCTAACCGCTAAGTATGCTCCCAAAAACTGCACCGGGCAGAAGGGACCCCCAGAGGCCCCTATCCGCAAATGTGGCATACAAACATACTAACATATGTTATTAATGTTAGAGTGTTTTCCTATATATTTAGAATTATACCCCTTTCCTGTATTGTTTACAGTACCAGGAGCTTCATGGCAGCTCTTCTCCCCACCGAGTAAGTAGTCACACTGTTTGAGAAAGGTTTGACAACTGCTGGCCATCAGAAGCTGCCTTGTCTGCCTCAAGTTCTGTTGTGAGCTCAGCCTAGCATATATCTGATGCTCTCAGCCAATTGGCTTGGCTCAGGTTAGTAGAGCTAACAGAAGCTCTTTCCAGGAGCGTTAGGCAGTAAGTGGACCCAAGGCAAGTTATCAAACCGTTATTAAACAAAATTACATGTAGGGAGCATCAGGGAAATTATGGCAACATAACTCTACAGTGGGCAAATATATATAAGAAAAATAAATATCTCCATGGTGTTTTTTTATAATTATATACCCTCTTGCAAGTGCCACAGAAGTTCTGAGATTTTGAGGGATCTAAAGTATAATGTCCTCTTTTCAACAGTGTGTTTTCTCCAGTGCACACACCTGACTTGCCCTTCTGCCATAGACCTGTGGCATGCTCGTGAATAGTTATGGCAGATGCGTTCTTGAGGTTGTGTTCTTCCATCCTAAGTATTTTGTTTCTTGATGCCCTGCATATGTGGATACAAGGAAACTTTGCTCAATCAGCGTATCATTGGATGAGCTCATTCTGCACAAAATAAATTTGGTATTAATCCAAATGCTCAGAGTGCTTCAACAGTGCTCTCTGCACATGGGTAGCACTGAGTGGATAAGGCTGGAAAATTAATAAATGGTACCAACAACTCAGTAACCGGAAAAAAAAAGATTAGAGAGGTAAAAGAGAGTATGGAAAGTCCATGCATACCTCCCAACATTGAGAGGATGTTGAGAGGATTCAATTCGGACGGCTGAGCTGGTCTCCCAGTGGGTGTCGCCCAGAAACATCTCCATAAACTGCTGAGGGCTAAATCCTGCGACATCCACATTGATGCCAGGATTTGCAGTGAAGGGTGGGATATCTGGTCTCTGGCGATGAGGCACTACTCAGCTGGAGCAGCACGTCTCCTTCTGGCAGGGGGACTAGGAGCCACAGATACATTACTAGATACATTGCTCTGCAATACCCTCAGAGCATCTGGAAGCAATCATGATTGCTTCCAGCGCTCAAATTTGCCGTGGTACGCTAGGTACGTCTGTGGTCCTTAAGAACCATGTTTTGACGGACATACTTGATACGTCCGTGGTCAGGAAGGGGTTAATGTAGAAATATACAATGTGACAATCAAAACCCTTAAAGGATCACTATAGGGTCAGGAACACAAGCATGTATTCCTGACCCTATAGTGTTAAAACCACTATCTAGCCCTCCTGGGCCCCTCTTACTGTATTCAAGCCAGAAGCTGTAACTCTGCATGCTGTTTGCCTCAAAAAAACAAGCAGTCTGCTGACATCATCAGAAGTGGTAGCCTGATCCAATCACAATGCTTCCCCATAGGATTGGCTGAGACTGACAAAGAGGCAGAGCAGCCAATCAGCATCTGCTCATAGAGCTGAATTGATTCAATGAATCTCTGATGAAAGTTCAGTGTCTGCATGCAGAGGGAGGAGATACTGAATGTTTGGATGCATTTTAGGCAGCCATGACCCAGGAAGGATCTCTAACAGCCATCTGAGGAGTGGCCAGTGAAGTTATCACTAGGCTGTAATGTAAACACTGCATTTTCTCTGAAAAGACAGTGTTTACAGCAAAAAGCCTGAAGGTAATGATTCTACTCACCAGAACAAATTCAATAAGCTGTAGTTGTTCTGGTGACTATAGTGTCCCTTTAAATATTAAAACAGTGTGAATAAAAGATGGACTCAAACTTTCCTTATGCAGAATAAACTCTACCCCGAAGACTTCCTCAATCTTCAAATATAAATACAAAACACACAATAGGGGTGGGTCTGCTGGGAAGAATGAGAAGAAACGCATAACATAGTGCTTAACTGTGTTGATTTAAAATCAAAGTTGGGTATAATTGGCCACTCACACTTTAGATGCCAAATTCAAGCCTTCATCATATAGTTGATGATATCAATGTGTGTCTTCTGATGCCTTTTGACTTCAGTATTATTGAACAATAGATGTTAAAAGAAGAAAGTGCAAGAAATGTAATGCAAATGCGAATAAAGTGCAAAGAAAATTTTAATCACTTACATCTCAGTTAAAAACAGCCATTGTGGTAGTTAAAATACCAGTCCACCAGTCCTATGCATTTCGTCCCAGCAAGGGACTTCCTCAGGGACAAGGAGCTGTGCAAACCAACAAAATAAAGTTCAGTAAAAAAAACTTTCCCACCCCTTCCATGTCTGATTTAAACTGTATAATCTCCCAGAAACAATGGGAATCTATTTTCAGGTATTCCAAAAAATTACTAAAAGCATCTACTTTGTCAGAGCAACATTATAAAACCATCTACCAATGGTATATGGTACCTATCAAATTACCCAAACTCTTCCTTCACTCCTTGCCCATGTGCTGGCGCTACAATTCCATGTAGGCACCACATTACATACATGGTGGCACTGTGCGCCCCTCCAACCTTTCTGCAAGGAGATCCACCAGTTTGCTTCACAAAAATTACAGCACACAATACCTTTCTCGGCTCGCTCATACAAGACAGGAAGTTGATTTTCCATGTAGACCTTACAGCCCAAAGGCTCATAGGACAAGCCTGGAAAACTACCACAACCCCATCATTGTTTCTTCTCTCTTGCTAGACAAAGCGCTTACGAGCACAGTTTCCCTGCCATTGTTCAGCTTTCTAAATGTATCCTAGATATTTGGAACCTATGGGACTCTTGTAGATCAGGTGCTAAATGATTATAAACTGTATTTTGTTCTATGGTATACCATTTACAAAAAAATCAGGTACTTGTAATCTCTAGATAAAACACAATACGTATTTTGTGTTTTGCGCTACATTGCTGAATACTCCCCCCTTTTTCCCTTCTGCACCCTCTCCCTTTCATAAAAACGCAATAAAAACTCAAATGGAAAAAAATATAGGTGGATTCAGTAGAGTTGGTGAACTGGGAGAATGTAGAAGGGTTTATACAGTGAATAAGGCATTTGAAAATATAATTTATTTATAATCAGAAGTCAATGGAAATCTTGGAAGTTAGAAGATAATCAGATTCACCCACAACATTTAAAATAGCCAATAGGTGATCAGATATTCATCAGAATATCAAATAGCTAACAACCTCATGTACAGTATATTCAAAATTCTATATTTCACACAAGGTATGTCACATATTTCACACAAGGTATGAAATATTAGTATAGAAGCAGAAATACAAATGTTCATTTATACAGCAGGTGTGGAAAAATAGATAAATTAACATGGTCCTATACCTTGCAAGATATTTGTAAGGATTGTACAGGCATTACTAGCAGTAAAGCTTAGTGAAAATGGCAACTGTATGTAAAAAGAATGTTAGCATTTAAATATAATTCCCGCCACCATTAAATACAGTTAAAAAATAAAGGTAAATTAAATGTTTTATAGCAATCTTTATAATGCCAATACAATGCTAAGAGGCATACAAGATAACTCATTTATTTACTCCCCTCCCCATCCCTGACAGTAGGAATTGTATGACCATAGAAGCCTTCTTTACTGTTTGGAGTTTGTTCACAGTGCAGACATTAAAGGAGTGGTTTCCTGGGACAGAAATGTATTTGTCTACAAGCTGATAATTATTCCTAGAATATAAATGTAGATAAGTCAGAATTTCTGAATTTGATTTTGTTTTGCGTAGCAAATTAAAGGGAAAAAAAAGAACATGTATACACATTTTCAGGTAGCAATGGGGTTAATGAGATGTATTACTTTAGAACTCTGTGATACACATATATATCAAATATTGCACACGCCTAGAAAAAGTGTAAGGGTGTGGTGGATCCCAAAATAGGTTAAGGAACAGCGCACACACACAAAAAAAAAAAAAAAACAGTTTGAAATTTTACAAATCTATCTCAGCAAACAAATTTGAGGATTAAATTTCACCATAGGGCCTTATCGTGTTAATCCCACCACTACACCACAGTACCCCAATATTAGTGATAAAAAAAATTCAAAAATATACAAGATCATAACTAAATAATCAGAGTGATAGTGCCTTTATGTATATACTCACAATCAGACGCGCTACCACTAGGCAGACTAGGCAGCCATGGGGTGCAATTTCCAGGTGAGCGGTAGGAGGGGAGCGCTGATGTAGCTTTGTGAGCTGCTTCCTGTAAGACTGGGTAGAGGAAACAGAAGATCCTCTAGAAAATGACTTAAGAAGAGCTGCATGGGGGTGGGAGTGGGGGTGGGTGGGTACAAAGAGACACACAAGGGGCTGAAGTAAAAAGAAAAACAGGGAGACTTGGGGAGACAAAGACACACAGAGGGGCTGGGGAAAGGAACACAAATACATTCAGATGAGCGGGGGAAGGGAAAAGATAGATATGCAAAGCAGTGGCATACACACAATCCATGGGGCCCTGGTGCGAAACTGATCCATGGGCCTCCCCCTTGCCCCCCTCTCCCTGACAGACACACACATACATACAGACATACAGACACACATACACACAGACACATACATACATACATACATAGAGACACACACATAGACACATACAGACAGACAGATACATATAGACACATACACACATACATACACACTGACAGACACACACAAGACTCACATACATACAAAGAGACAGGCACACATACATACATACATACAGACAGACAGACACACACAGATACACAGACACATACATACAGACCGACAGACACACACACACAAGACACACATACATACAAAGACACATACATACAAACAGACAGGCACACATAGATACATACATACATACATACAGACACACAGACACATACAGACAGACAGACACACACACATACACACATACAGACAGACACACAGACACATACATACAAACATACAGACACACACAAGACACACCTACATACAAAGACTCATAAATATATACATACAGACAGACAGACAGACAGACAGGCACACATACATACAGAGAGACAGACACACACACAGACACATACATACAGACACATACACACATACAGACAGACAAGACACACATACATACAAAGACACATACATACATACATACAAACAGACAGGCACACATACAAACAAACACACACATACACAAAATGTTTAAGTCACCCTCCTGTTTCCTACCTTCTAGGTGCAGGAGGGTGACTTTCCCTGGGGTCCAGTGGTGGCTCAGATTGATGGGAGTCAAGTTCTCACTCTGACTCCCTCCCCTGCTTCCTCCCGCGCAGGCTCTGTGTGATTGCTGGGAAGAGTGACAGGCAGTCACTTCCTCCCAGCGTGTGATGTCATTCCATACCCATCGGGTGGCCCTAACAGCATGAGTCACCCGATGGACCCCTTGGACGGCGGCACCGGAGGTTTTCCACACGGGCCAGGGCTGCAAAACATGGTGGCGGGCAACAGGTCACAGGGGTCCACAGGGCGGCCAGGCCCTCTGAAATGACGGGCCCGGTTGCAGTTGCAACCCCTCGACCTCTATATGTACGCCACTGATGCAAAGTGTCTGGGGCCGCGAAAGAGGTACACAACGAGAATGGGGCAGATAAAGAAACACACAAAGTTGCCAATTATTTTTATTTTTTTTGGGTGGGGGTGCAAGTAGCTGGTCTTGCCTAGGGCACAAACTAGTCTAGCACTGTTTCTACTAAAAATGCATATATAACTGTTCATAAAGGGACAGGCCTGCCCAATGACAGGTATTTTGACAAGCAGCATGGCTGGCCCACAGCTATCAGGACCATACAGGGAGCTCTTGTGTTGCTGCACAGCGCTCATGCGTCTAATGATGTGCTCGCACTGTGCTGTCCCAACAGTTCCAGATGCAGGACACTAGGGAACTAAAGTGGGATAGGACCCCGAAATCAGAACTATCTTCCTAAAATCTGGATTGTCTTGTGGAAAGCAGGACTGTTGGGAGGCATGTGATATACAGCTGCACTCATTGGCTAAGCGCACCTAACTGATGTTCTCAACCAATTAAAGCAGTCTTGCACAACTCTGCTTAGATCAGTGAAGCAAACAGTGTTCTCCTTACAGGAGAATCCGGAGGCAGGCAGTGCAGCCACGGTTGGCTAGGGGGCCCAGGTAAGTTGTCAAAAGGTTGTAAACAAATTATGGCACTCCTGACAGTATAGCCACTACAGCAGGCTTGGTGCATTCATTTAAATTAGTCCATACACAACCTACACACCTCAAACCTGCTTAACCCCTTAAGGACACATGACATGTGTGACATGTCGTGATTCCCTTTTATTCCAGAAGTTTGGTCCTTAAGGGGTTAAAAGGAAACTATAGACACCCAGACCACTTCATCTCATTGAAGTGGTCTGGGTGCAGTGTACCTGAGATTCTAATGGACTATGAGTCACTTAAATGACCCTGGGTGTCCTCACGCTCTGTTGGAGGACATCCAACATCAGTGAAAACCCCACAGGAAAGTATTGAGTCAATGCTTTCCTAAGGAGAGGGCCTAATGCACTCACTGCGCATGCGCATAAGGTCACCCCAATCGTATGACATCGGAAGAGGCAGAGTGACGACCTGGCGCACTGTGACATAGGGTAAGTGATTAAAAAAATGTTGTAACCCTGAGGTCCTGTAGTGGACCTGAGGGCACTGTAGTGTTTGGAGTCCAGCACTCGACTTCATTGGTGTAATGGTGGTTTATTCATTCAGTTAAGCCTAAAATCTGCTGTTTCTCTCTACTATACCTGTCCACATCCACTTTCAGAAATTCTTCTAAAGGAAGTCTTGGACTACTACTTGGCATGGGAGCTGCTAATTGAGTTAGAGCGGTCAGCTAATCAGTAGCTCACCATTCATAAAAGCAGCTTGAGAAAGGTATGTACCTTTTTAGACACTTCTTTTGGAAAAATTTCTGAACACATATGTGGGCAGGGACACAGAGAAACATTGCTTCAGAGTGGGCTTTGGGGTTAAAGCATCCATGAATGGTTTAACCCCCAAAGGAATGGAAGCACCAGGGACCTCCTGGCACCATAACAACTTAGTTTTGGGTTAAGTTGTTATGGTGCCCAGATTGTTAATTTAACATCCACTTGGGATAGCTCACTATCTGGTTAAAGCTAAAAAAAAATAAAAAAATATCATGAAAATTGTGCATTCTTAAATTCATAAGTAACGTTTTAAAAATACTTTGATATGTTTCAGTTTCTCTGACGAATCAAAATAAACACCTTTTGTGACTAAATAGAAAACATTTGCCTTCTTTTTCCCATTTATAAATGATTTAACATCTAAAAAAAAAAAAGAAAAACTCTCTGAGTGAGGTGGTTTCCATCCCTGAAGTCCCTGTAGATTCCTTCCATTAAAATAATAATAATAATAATAAAGGAAATTTAGGGGTAAAAAAACAAAACTCCCGAACTTTAGTCAGCAACATGACTGTTTCCCTATGCTCCTATGCTCCCCTCCTACAGAACGTTCTGTATGGAACAATACGGATATGTAGCACTGCATTTTATAAGAGCACACTTGCAGTACTTTTAGAGGGTATCATGACACCCCTGCCCAACATTAATCAGGTTAGGTCTGTGTGAAGAGACAAGGAAGAGGCAGGGGAGAGGCTGGTTACTCTGTAAATATATATTTATAAAAGTGTCAATGTTGACTCGTCCCACCCTCCACCCTAATCCACCCTCCACCCAATGGGCAGGAGCAGCCCTGCCCCACCCTGCCGGCTGCTGCTGGTGTGCTATGACTGTCCTCCCTCCTCCCTCCCTGCCTGACTTTCCCATCCCTTAGAGGCTTGTCCCTAACCCTGGGGCTGCTGTAGCCACACACCGGCTCTCCAGTCCATGTGAGAGCCACAGCTGAGCGTAAGGCAGAGGAAGCTCTCTCTCTCTCTAACCCTGAAAGTACTGTCAGAGCTCCCATCCCAGGACCTTTATCAGAACTGGAGTTAAAGGATTGTTGTCTCCAACAGTGGCACAAGAAGTGAGCTGGGGGACAGAGAAGACCCATTCAGTCCCTGGCTCCCCCCTGCCCTGTGTCACAGTAAGTGAGACCCCTGGTTACTGAGGAAGGTGGGGGTGGGCTCTCAGTCAGGGGGGTCTGCTGATACCTGAGAGGCTATTATGTGCTGCTGGGGGGGGTCTTCATTTTTCTGAATCTTGGTTTGGTATTGGGGTGGGGGGGGTCCGACTGGAATTGTGGATGTTAACCTGTTGGCTGCCGGATTAAGGAGAGATATGCCCTTCAGAGGGTAAGGAGCTGGAACCCTGTGTGAGTTTGTGTGCCCCCATGCTGGCACTGAGCACCTGTGGGCAGGATTCCCAGGACGGAATAAACTTACCATCAGCTGATTGAGTGCTGGCTGCACATTGGTCTCTGCCTGTTCTACTCTGGAGAAGGTCCTGCCCTCCCCTGCTGATTGATAGGGGGGTTTAAACGGGCAGACTGTGCCTGACAGTGTCCTGGGACTCTCTGAGTGAGTTATTTAGACAGTGTCCTGGGACTCTCTGGGTGAGAGACCTCTGAGTGAGTTATTTAGACAGTGTCCTGGGACTCTCTGGGTGAGAGACCTCTGAGTGAGTTATTTAGACAGTGTCCTGAGTTTCCTGAGACTCTCTGTGTGAGAGACCTCTGAGTGAGTTATTTAGACAGTGTCCTGCTACTCTCTGGGTGAGAGACCTCTGAGTGAGTTATTTAGACAGTGTCCTGCGACTCTCTGGGTGAAAGACCTCTGAGTGAGTTATTTATACAATGTCCTGGGACTCTCAGGGTGAGAGACCTCTGAGTGAGTTATTTAGACAGTGACCTAGGACTCTCTGGATGAGAAACCTCTGAGTGAGTTATTTAGCCAGTGACCTGGACTCTCTGGGTAAAATACCTCTGAGTGAGTTATTTAGACAGTGTCCTTGGACTCTCTGGGTGAGAGACCTATGAGTGAGTTATTTAGACAGTGTCCTGGGACTCTCTGGGTGAGAGACCTCTGAGTGAGTTATTTAGACAGTGTCCGGCGACTCTCTGGGTGAGAGACCTCTGAGTGAGTTATTTAGACAGTGTCCTGGGACTCTCTGGGTAAAATACCTCTGAGTGAGTTATTTAGACAGTGTCCTGGGACTCTCTGGGTGAAAAACCTCTGAGTGAGTTATTTAGAAAGTGACTGACAGTGACCTGAACTCTGAGTGAGAGACCTCGGACTGAGTTATTTAGAAAGTGACTGACAGTGACCCGGACTCTGGGTGAGAGACCTCTGAGTGGGTTATTTATACAGTGACTGAGAGTGACCTGGACTCTGAGTGAGGGACCAATGAGTTTGACAGTGTTCTGGTACTTTAGAGATCTCTCGTGAGTTATTCAGATACTCACTGAATAACCCATTTAAAGATATAAAATGGGACTCTCTGGGAAACCTCTGTGTGAGTTAGTCAAACAGTAGCTAACAGTGTCCTGAGACTGTAATGGGTGATCCTTATGTGAACTATTGAGACAGTAATATCTCTGAGTTATTCCGTGACTGTGATCTGGACTCTGAGTGAGTTATTCAGACAGTGTCTGACTGTCCTGAGACGAGACTCTCTGAGTAAGGGATCTCTGAGCTACTCAGGCTGTAACTGACATTGCTCTGGGACGTTCAGAGATAAGTTATTAAGACAATGACTGACAGTGCCCTAAGTAATTATGTGATAGGACACTCTGATAGTGCTCTGAACTTCTATCTGACTGTGTCATGGAGGTGTCTCTCAGTATACCCTGGACTCTCACAAGCAGAGCCCTGGGTGCTCAGACTGAGTTATTCCAACAGTGGATGACAATGTCCATGGATTACTGCGACAGTGCTTTGGGACTCTTTCTCGCTGCCCTGGAACACAGTGTCTGACAGTGCTGTGGGAACCTCTGAATTAGTTGGACAGCATCTAACAGTGCCTGGGACACAGTGACTGAGTTAGACAGTGTCTGAAAGAGCCCCAGCACACTCTGATTTCAGCCCAGTAGACCAGGCACCCTTTTGTCCAATTCTGCTCATTTGTGGAACGTGTGTGGCGATTTACATATTCGTTCTATTTAGTTATTCTATTATTAATATATATATATATATATTTTTATTTTTTTTTAACAATAGTAATTTTAAAAAGTCTATATCAGCATGACTTAATTTAGTTTTTTTGGCTTGTACATACTGCCGTGATTATTTGCTTGCTCATATTCAGCGATAGTGATAAATGGCATTCCAAGAATTTGAAGTGATATTTAAGATTCATTCTATATTTCAGTTTTTCTGTATTCTTGACTTGTTTTACTTGATTTAAATCCAACGTGATTTATTCATTTAAACACCACAATTCTTTTTACATTTTAGATCTATAGTTAATTATATTATATATATATATTTCTTTTTTTAATGAGAATGTGAATTTATTCTACCCTGACAATCTGTATCTTCATTTGGATTTACAACATTGATTGTGGGTGCGAAAAGTATTTTTTTTTAAAGTTGGTTAAATTATATAGTACCTTGTTAGTACCATGTTATCAGCAAACGTTAGGAGTATATATATTAACATTTAGGGACTGATAACCGCTGATTAACCATGTGTACACAGCTGCGTGAAACATATTTTTAAAATTCAGTGTGGAAAAACGTTTGCTTTAAAAACCATAGTGTAAATAAAAAAAAATGAACTTCCAACCTTAACGCAAAACCACATATATCTATAATCTCTTTAGTTTGTAATAAACGCAGTTACATAATTATCCGTGGCTGTCTATGGGTGATAGGATGTATACCACAATAAAGTTTAGCTAGAACAAATGTGTCCGTGGGGTAGGGAAAGTAGTGTGTATTTCTATATTGGAGTGTTAAACCAAATTTCACTTTAGAAACTCGATTAAAGAATTTTCATATGTTCAACTGTTCACCCAGGACATACTTGAATAGGAGAGAAATCTCAATGTATCCTTCCTGGTAAAATATTTCTATAAATAAATAAATAAATCTGAATATACCAGGTGGTAGGACAGCGCCCCCCTTTCCCCCCTCAATGTTGCCCAAGAAGTGTTGTTGGATCTGTGGAGTAACTCACAGGATGTGAATGTTATGTGGCTTTGTCTCCCGAGAGCTCTCTTTTTGTATATTGTGTTAAGCAGTTGAATTGCAAACCATTTTCGAAATGTTGTTCTTTCGATGTTGTAACAAGATAAAAAAAACAACAACTTTGCACTAACTGTGCCATGCGACCATTCAACAGCAGGCCAATGGTGGGAGCATATTTTATGTCCAAGTGCTCTTAAATGACTTGTCACTAGACACAGAACGTACATCGTGACAGTCTATTTATTAGCAAGGTTCTATGGCTAGAGAAGGGCATTTTTACAGGAAAACCATGTACTTCACAGGCCTATTTCTTCAGAATGTTTCATAGAATATGAAATAAGACTTGAAAGCTGTTGAGTCTCTAGCCTGGCGACAAGTGGAGAGTGAATTTGAGAAGGAGGACGGTTGCTGAGGCAGTACTTCTTCGAAAGAAGAAGCAAGGAATACATTTCCTCACTTTGATGCTAAACGTCATAATATCTTCATGAAGCAGAACCGCAATTGTATGAGTTCGCAGTTAAAGTGTAACGTGTTGGTATTTCTGCATGTAAATCTCATTAATTGTGTTGTCATGGTTACCCCCTAATGCTGCGCTGCCAACAAAATTGTGGCATTAGACAGGTGTCAATCACAAGTGGCAATACTATTATACTATATTTTTTATTGTTGTATTTCTATCTGGTATATTGGGGTCTATTCATTAAACCATGAGTTGTGGTGATATGACAGCTGACTTGGGTAAAATGTAGGCGAAAAGGCTGAGATAGGGAAAAAATAGCAATTCTGAGAATGTTAGATTTATTCCAACTTGGCTGTTATGCACATAACATTGCACTTCCAATGTTAGCTCAGCTTAGCTTACTGTTTTGTGAATAAACCCTTTTACCTGGTAACAATACTGATGACTTGAAACAGAGCTTACTTACATATTACCAGTCATTTCTTTTACCTCTGCTGTAGATGCATCTCAAGCTTTTAGAGCTACACTTAGATGTAGACACAATCCTTTGTGGTGTTTGTAACTTTAGAAGAAATGAAATAGCCAATAGGCTTCAGACGTGCATTCCTAAAATTCTGATTGGCAGCATAGCCCATGGCTCATCCTTTTATGCCATGTGTGGCATGATCTATACATGTGAGATCAAAGTATTTGTAGGTACGTGGTTAAAATACTTCCACAATTCAGAAATTAGCCTTTATCGGTTGGAGAAAGGGTTAAATTCTGAAAGTGCAAGCTGTGCGGTTTTAAATTTTATTCTATTGTCTGTAGCAGTTAGAATTTACTTTTTTTCATGTGGGGTGGGGGGTTGAACTCTGTGTATGACCATCACAGTCTGTCTGGACTGACGGAAGCTCATGTCTTGAGTAACATATGCTGCACTCTATAATGTTTCACATTACTGCTGCTATAGTGGTTTACACAGCTTGTGATGACAAATGTGTCACATCTCTTTGTGTACAAACCTAAAGTTGATTAGGGTGCATTTTCCTAATATATATATATATATATAAATATCTTTAAAATCATGATTTAAATCAAGGATCACTGTAGCGTTAAGAATGCAAATTGTCATCTTTTGTGAATTAGATAAGTATAAGTTTGGTGCTGCTTTTTGGGAAACTTAGCACAAGGAAAGAATTACAGAATATTAGTTGAAAATTAGTTAGATTAAGTCTGAGTGATACCATTTAAACCATTAGACACCCACTCTCTTTGTGGTAAAGATGTGCATTTAAACTTATAGATTTTGGCTGTTACTGTATGTATAAACTTTGAAGTGGTTAAACTAGGCATAACCTGATATATATTATGTAGGTGTCTAGATATAAAATAGGTTAGTGACACAACATAACGATGTGACTAAAGTGTCTGTCTTGAAACTTATATCTCAAAACAGTTTCATATCCTTTGTGGAGTATGTATACACATATCCTGTAAACCAAGACACAATTAAGTGTAAAAATTACCCTAAACAATATTAATGGTGCAAACTATTCCCCAGTTAGCATAATAGACCAATATTTGCATTTCTATGAATATTTTTGTAACATATATAGACGTCCATATTGTATTCGTCTTTTCGATGCTACAATTTCACATAATGCCCCCAAATTCTTTTAAACTCAACAGCTTCCTATGTAAAAAGGTTTTTTTTATTTTTTACATATATTTTGTATGGAGGGTGGTAAATGTAGAGGATTGTACTGTAAAAATTGGCCAAAAAATGATGTCCTGACCCTCTAATCACACCCCTTAGTCATCTGTTCTCTGATGAAATTTATTGCAGTTGCAGGATATAGTAAAGTCAGATTTCTGGGTATTTGTAAATAGGACAGGCCATGTCTATAATGCTGTTGTTTTTATTCACACCCATTGAGCAAACACCTCCACCCGCTGCTGCTTGTATAAAATAACTCCAGCTGCTCATGAATATTGGTCAGCGAATACTGACAAAATGTGTCTCTGTGTGCTCGCTCCAGCCTAGCCAGTAGAGCTGTTTCCTCTCCTTTGTTTCAAGGCTGTGGTTTGCGTCATACATTCCAAGTGGCATATGTCTGTGCTTTCCTGTTTCAGGCCGTTTTCAGATCACAGTTTTTGGCCCGTCCCCTGTCACTGCCCCAGCAACTCCCAATCCCCACCCAAGGAGTTAACACTTCCACCAACCAATATGTAGCTCTTTCTGTAGGCCTCCACACCATTAATCCTTGGAATGTCTGCTAGTCTGGACTGCAACTCCCAAACCACTGTAGCTGGAAAAAAAAAGTTACTATCAGCCAACTAATTAGTGTAATGAGAGCTGATGTACAGGGCGGCTTGGCAGAGACCGTATATGTGTCTTGTTACTGTACTTTGATATACTCAGTCCTGCATGAAAGAGGTTGTGGCAAAAATTCCATTATTTCTATACCATGAATGGAACATGCAAGACATTTTTGAGAGATGCTTAATAAAAAATTTAAGAATTTGTTGAGATTTAACTTCATATGTGGACTCTTCTGCTTTATGACACAGATGTTTTCTTCAGCTTAAATATTAGGAGACTCTATAGAAAAACAAAAAATTTAATAAGTGAACTTTTTGCTTAAACATTTTTTCTTTTTTATGCTCATGTATGCGCTTAATGCTCCTGAATATAGTATTTTTTTTTTCATTGACACACACTAAATCTCGGGCTCGTTGTGGTGCTTCAATAGGGCACGGGCCCGCATTAACATGAACCCTGCCAAAGCCACTACAATGTGCCCATTTAGTTGGGGTAACTTGCAGATAGTTTAGAAACTAGTAGTAAAATTAGTAGGGCCATAAAAAAACTGTCAGCAATTCACTTGGACTTGAAAATGTAAATGTATCACTGTTTGATATATAGTGAATTTACTGTGATCTCCGAAGCTTGAGAGCATACTAGCTGTATCCCATTCTAAATCGAATGAGTTCAGTAAATCTTAGAACATCCCAGTTGAAGAACTGCAAGTCGCATGATCCTTTATCAATCTGAATGCTTAGAAGTGATTAGAGCATTTTATAGTTTTAAAACTATATATATATCCTTCTGCCACCTCTGTGTGTGTTTTTATTTTGTCTTTGTTTTTGTTTTCTTCTTCAAGTGTTTAAAAACTGTCCCTATGTAAGGCTCTTTCATTGATAGCAAGTTCCCATAATCCATGTGTCCTGTAGCAAAATCCATGCACTAATTTACTTGAGGGACTTGGTTGTGGAAATGAAGAACTGAGGCAGTGATGGTTAAATGTCATATCCCAGACGTGCGGTGAACCAGCAAGCAGACAAATGTAGTAAGCAGACAACGAGGGTGCCAACGGTACCCATCATGTCATGCAGGAGGTAAATATTACACATTAGATAAACCTCCTCCATTTCTCTGCCAAGCAGCAATTCTCTGTAAAAGTCTTTCTCTCTCGTTTTTTTTCTGAGATCACTTACTGACTGCTCTCAAATTGGTGACCTACAACTGAATGCAGTTTCAAGATGATATTCAGGAAGCCATCCCGATAATAAATATCCTAATGTGTTTGGGATTTAACTTAAATCAAGCATGACACCACTCCCAGTTCATATCCCTGTGCCAGTGGACTTTGTAAATGAGTTGAACCCTTACACTTTAACTCTTAATAGCCCATGACTATTATTGTATGTAGTCACTTGCCAGCTGCCATGCAGCTGTAATACTTATCCTATCTTTACACGACAAAGATATCAGTTTAGTCATCTGTAATCAGCCAGGGATAGGTGGCTGCTATGACATGACATGCAGTAGAAAAGCACTAGTTAAGAGGCTGAAATGCCCCAAAAAATCATGGTACAATATTAAAAAAAGAGAACTGGTGAACAATTGTATAGGATGCCTCCTTGAAATTGGGTGTGTTACGTGAAGAATATATTAATATTAAGCTTTCCTTTCTCTTCTTTTATAATCCATATACAAAAGATTCTACTAGAATATTTGTATTGAATGTGGGGAGAAAACTGGGGTAGTTCTACACGTGAAGCAATTGCCACTAAATCAAAAACAATCTTCAGACACCGAGTAACATTCTAGTGGTTTGCTATGTTGATAATTTTGGTTTAAGATGTTTGCCCTTTTTAGTGGTAAATCTCTCCCATGGAGATATGTTCACCATGGCACCCACACAGCGTGTCCTAATAGGATTTTTTTTTTAAATGCCTTATCATGTGAAATCTAATGCTCATATACTAACAGAAACCGTTGTTCCTCAGTGCTCTGGTAACCTTTTAACACCAGCAACATAGTGGGACGCGTTGCACGCTATCACCTGTCTTTTGTTGATTGCAACTCATTACTAAGCGAAACTCAACCGGCATTTGTTGAGAATATTTTGTTTGCAGACTCCCCCGCATGGACAAATTACAGGTCATACACAAGGAATGGAATTTAACACCTTGAATACAATCAGAAAATGTAACTTTCAATGGAAAAAAAAATATTAATGAAACCAGAATAGCAGTTTTAAGTCAAAACAGTAGTTGGAAAAATAACCAAGATGGGGAATTTTTTCGATTTGACTATTTTAAGCTAAAATCTGGAGAGCTCTTTATTTTTCACCATTTCCCGTTAAGCAAATTATGTACATCTATCAACAGATATAATTGTGGGCGACATCACTTGTTTATTGGAATAAACTAAAGTCCATTGAAGGCAGTCTGAGCCAGTCCTTTCATTTATGCAAAAATATATTATCATTATTATTAAAAAAAGTGACATTAAAACGCCATAATCCGTACAGTGTCAGTTATTTTTTATTTGTACACACTAACTGATAATCAGATTGTGGTATGTAGTATAACAAATGTGGGAATCATATCTGAAATATATTTAACTTGACATTTTACTCTCTTACATGTAAAATCAATGATATCTGAAGATTGTTTTTGAATTAGTGGTGATTTTCAGAATAGTTTGTATGAATGTGAATATAGCCAGTGCAATTGATGGCTCATTTAGACAACTGTTTCGTAAACTAGTTTAGGACTTGTGTGCTAATTCATAGCAGTTCAGGGGACATATATGGGCGAATGATTTAGATACTTTTGCTAAACAGTGAATTGACCGTCAACTTATACAATGAGATGGCGTGGTCCAGGTGCCTATAGTGTCCCAAAATTTGAAATTCACTTTTAATTCTCAACAATTCCAACTTTAGTAAATGACTGATAATATTAAAGGAAACTATAGCGTCACAAATACAAACATGTAATCCTAACACTATAGTGCTGGAGTAGCAGTTTAGTTGCCTGGCATCCCTCAGAGTGGTGTTAAAAGGTGTGTAAACTTACCTTTTCACCATTGCTATGCCGTTCTCACTGCGGTTGGTCTCGAATCCATGGCTGAGATTCACCGGAAAAAAGAACCCATCAGCATCCCATCATAGAGATGCACTGAATCAATGCATCTCTATGGGTAGCGTTCCGCATCTGAACACTGTGCAGCACTGAAATAGGAAGTACCTCTAGTGGCCGTCTGAGTGACTGCACCTAGAGATGTTACTGGGCAGCAATGTAATCATTGCCTTTTCTCTGAAAATGCATGGTCTACATTGAAAAGCCTACAGGGACAAGCTATAGTTTTCTAGTATGTCCTGTTGTCTGAATGTCATTATCCAACTTAATATCACTCCTATTATATTCTGTGTTAGCAAAACTACAGAACTATGTCAGCTTGCTAAAAGAGCTGAGTTAGAACATATTGGGATACTGAAAGCAAAGTGTCTGTTTATTTTGTATTTAGAAGTACAATAGAACACTGTGGTCTCACCATTGTTGTATCCTCACACCAGCACTAGATAAACCTGCCAACTATTCACAAGATGTGACCCTGTAAATTTGTGGGAGAGGAAAGAGGAAAAGGTAACTGTGTAAAAGAACAGGAAGGGAAAAAAAAAAAAACTTTGTCAAATTCCTCAGGAAGTGTCTCATACTCCCTGCTGCTAAGGCTCCAGATTTGTTTTCATAAACCAGGGTGAGGCTCCACGAGAGTTGCCCCTTCACCTCCACTGGAGGAGATTTTGTTGATGAGAGAGGGCATGAGGAAGTACTTTGGAGAGACAGGAACAATTTCGACTTGAGAAAGCTGACTTGTGCAGTATTGGTCTTTTTTCAAGTTTATTTTAACTCATTTAGTGTCGGCTTGAAATGAACTATTTCAGGAGACACGGTTACTTTTCTGTTTAAAATAGGATCGGTGAAGCATGAGTAGAAGGTTGTTTTAAAATAGGATCAGTGAAGCATGAGAGGTGCAGTTCTTGTACCTACTGCTCGCCTCTTCCCGGTGTCACAAGTTCAGTGACTGAAGCCGGTCAGTCAGAAGGAAAGAGCATGCTGTGGCATAGAGCCGTGACAGCTTAAGGTGCGGGAAAAGAGTCGGCGGCAAGACCTCAGGTCTGATAGAATAATGGAAAATGTATTAAAATCTAATTGTGAATTACATTAAAATAGATATGTTGTTGCATTTAGTGAACCGAGCAGGCGTATGTTTGTTTCTTTTGAATAAGTTTGGTTACTTTGCTTTTGAGTACATTATTAGGCCCAAGCACAGAGAACCTTTTAGTTAACAAGGAAAACGAGAACTGCTAAAGCTCAGAATGCTTAGTACCTGTTAATTTTTACAGTCCTATCAGTAATCTCACTAAAGTGCTAACTATATGGACTTTAAAGTGAATTCCAAATGTAGACTAAAGTAATCAAACTCAAAACAAAGCTGACTTGGGTATTTTTTATAGTTCGACTATTTTGGCCTACATTTGAAAATCACTTTGAGATCCATAGAACGCGCACTTAAAATCGACTCTGTGACCCCACCACCACTCAAAAAAAATAAAATTAAAACCTTCATGATATACTCACATTGACTGTGTTGAAAGTCCACTAAAATTCCCACACAGTCACATGATATGCTGAGATAAAGTAGGGACTACATTGTCTTATGCATTTTTCCTCACTTGACGGAAAATGGTGGCTATTACAGTCAAGTTTTGTCTTTCCCCCTGCCATCACTAGTGGGCATTGTCTATGGAGGCTCTGGTGGGATCCTCTATAAACATCAGTGTTATTCTTTTGCGCATGTTCAAGAGTGCAACACTGACACGGCCTCCTGACAGCCAGGCCTGCGGCTGTAAATCTTACCTTTCCCTGTATCTGTGGGCCACTGCACTGCAATATACAAAGACCATAAAAATCCCATTTAGTGAGGAGAGTAACTATTTTCCTTATTCAAAATTGCTTGCACTTTTTGTTATATCACTCTCGAAGTTTTTATTTACATAAATGAGTGATAGAAAGGCCTTAGGTCACACAAATGTTTATCTTAGTCATGGATATGAAATAAATTGTGCAGCCACTCAGTATCTCTAACCATCTGGCAAGTTTAAAATCAAGTTTTTTTTTTGTTTCTTTCTTGGCTGAAAGTTTTCTCATGAAAGTATTCCCAGGAGTAGCGATCCTTTGAATGTTTACATGTGCAGAAATATCATTAATGAACAGGCAACACTTACACTTGCCCATGCTTGCACATACGCATACAGAGAGAGTGAGGATAAAAGCACAAAGTACTGTGCATGTTGGGATATAATGTGTAATATGAAAAAATATTACAAATATATAATGTACAAATATTGCTGTTTATGCATATTTAAAAAAAATAATATCCGAAAGTATTACTTTACTGAGAGGGTAGTGGATGCATGGAATAGCCTTCCAGTTGAAGTGGTAGAGGTTAACACAGTGAAGGAGTTTAAGCATGCGTGGGATAGGCATAAGGCTATTCTAACTATAAGATAAGGCCAGGGACTAATGAAAGAATTAAAAAAATTGGGCAAACTACATTGGCCGAATAATTCTTATCTGCCGTCACATTCTAGGTTAATGACGGAGACACGCAGTTTGCTACTTCTAGATACTTTACCCAGGTTTACATGCTTGTAGTTTTAACCACTTAAGAACCAATGTACTTCTTTGCCATCATAACAATCTATTCTTTAACTCGCCTTCTGTAAATTGGATTTGCATGCATAAAACAACCAAAGCTTAATAAACAGGTTTGCCATGCTTATATTAAGTATTTTGGGACTAGATTGAGCAAAGTTTAATGTGGTCCTTAAGAGGCTAAACACATTTTTAGTTCAGTAGAGGATGGAATTGTGTGATCACATAACATTCTCAATTGCTGTTATGATTAGTGTGATCAGTGCAGATCGGTCTTAAATGTGTATTTACATTTTTATTTTGTAATTGTTAAATGATAATGATGTTGTTGTAGCAGGACAGACAAATGACTGATTTCGGTTATATTTCTGTGGTCTCCCACTTCCCTGGGATCACTAAATGAAAATTACCCAACTTGCAAAGATCGAGTATGACATTAAAATCATTTATAATGCCAGTGGCTACTGCAGTGCATACCTGTCCATATCAGAGTTTTTCTGCAGTGCTCTGCGCATGGGTATGCATTGTACCACTGGCACACATTCTGTCCTGTACCACCCCCTCTACCTGTTTGTCCTGATGAATATAACCCTACAGGAACTTTGCCCCAGCCTTGCTTTTGATAAATAATCATCAAAACCTGCTCTTTAAAACCAAGTAGATGATTACACAAAAGCTCAATCTTTTATACTTGAAGCATATTTCCTGGTACTTAAATTCTGAATAAAGTAGACATGAATGTCAGTATGAAAATTCTAAAGGAGCATGTCTTGGATTTTAAAGTAAAAGCATTGGAAAGAACGACTTTCCAAACATGGGTCAAGGTACCTGGAATGGTTAGAAATCAGTTAAGGGTAAGAGGCTCATTAGCATTTTAGCTTGTGCAAGTCTAGTGCAGTGGTGGGCTACCATGGGAAAGGAACCTCAAAAATAGATATTGCAGCATATGAATCTTTTTCATATTGACAATACTCCAAATGTATGTCCAACATCTATTTTTTAATAGTATCTTTCTGAAATGTGATATTTTTAGATGGATATTGTAATAGGCTTTTCACAGGGAGTAGTCTTTTAATGAAGCCCATTCATTGGTGTAACCAATGTGTCGTGCCCAGAATCCTTCATCACCTACAAGTTCTGCTTGATGTCAGCTATATCGTAGGGGAGATTTACAAAGCGGTGAAAATCTGGAGGGCTTCCACTCCGTTCAAAACTCACATTCAAGCTAATTAATAGGTGCTATAGACCAACACTTGGGTATGGAATCTCTACGTTTTGCCACTTAAAGCAGCAACAAACTCAATTTTAAATCTTCTTTAACATACAGACTTTAAAAATATATATATATTTTATTTCGTCTGAGGATACTACGGCAGATGCTTTTACAGACGCATGCATTTTATCTATACACAGTGCTTGCATGATTCGATTTAAACCGTGTAGGATGCCTGCCGGGATTCGATTTAAACCATGTAGGATGCCTGCCGGGATTGACTCGTTATTCAGTGGAATAGAGGGGATTCTTAACTGTGTAGTTGAAGAGATTCTTAAATAGTTCCAGATTTAAGAACAATATAAAACTATTACTACTGTAAAAGCAAGAGAATTTAACTGCCCCACACTACATTGCTAACGGTCAAGCAGGGTGCAGGGACTGATAGTGGTGGCAACTGGCAAATATAAAGATTTTCACCACCTGAACACTGTCCATTTTACTCATAATGGTAATAATTTTGTTTATTTTAATATAGCAATAAATTTGCAGCCAAGTTACAACTTTTAGAATAATACAGCAAATCTGCAAAATACACCCATCTTTGCTGTTTGGCCTACACATTTTTAAATCCCTGTTATTTCTTTCTAGAAAGCACTGTTTAGTGAATACAATCCTCCTCAGGTTTTTTTAATTCAGAGCTTGCCATATCTCAGCAAACACAGTGCCTGGATTCCTTTCGCAAGATGGGGTATTTTTTTCTATATTTTTTTTCTTGGCTTTTTTTTAATATATTGTTGCTTTTTCTCATTGACGTTTTTTTTTGTCTTTTTTTTAAATCAGTGTTTTGGCCTTGCATGGATAAAAGGATACATGTATTGCAATCTCCCTTTTCTTTGTTTTTGAATGATTGTATTAAAATTGTAGCAATACTACTCTCAGTTCTAGGGAGCCTCTGATGCTGGTATCTGGTGCCTAAGAGACCACAGATTTTGCAAGAATAGAAATGCCATCCACCTATACTATTACCTTGTAAGGCAGATATTTTCTGTTCATTAAACACACGCACTCCCCGTGACTAAACCAACACGCAAATGGACTGTACTATATTAAACAATAATCTACATTGTATCACCCAGTAAAAGAAAGGGAGTCAGTGAAAAGAGCTAGTGTGAGCAGTGCTGACATGGTTAACACGTAACGCTTTCAGCTGGAACTCTGTGGGACTTGGTGTCACTGCCCTTTAACTGTGTTAGTGTCTGTGACCCCAACCCTCCATTGTGCTCAAAACCACAGAGATTTTCTAGAGAATTCCTGAAAATGAGCAACGATTGGCAACCATGAATAAACCGTAGATCCATCTGGCCTGAAACCATCCAGCTGTAACTTTTTTTTCTTTTTTTTTCTTCGTCTTTAAAGCAAGCCTCTAAACCTTAATTTTTCCAGGACACGTATTCAGAAGTGTTTGGGAATGTTTTCCGGTGCTATCCCTGCAGACAAGAGAGCCCCTTGTTTCTTAAGTCAGTATAGTTTGCCTTGAAGGAGGGGACTAGTCTGCATACTTTCTGCACTGGGATCTGATATCTGCTTTGTTCCTTTTTTCTAGCTCACCCTTCACTTGTCCAGAACCGTAATGGAGAAGCTTGAGACAGGAAACCAGACAGCAGTCAGTTCTGATAAGGCATGGTATTGTTTAAGGGAGGGGACCTCTGTTAATTTTTTCATTTTTTTTTTCTGTGACCGGCCCTCCCTTTTCCTTGATGCCTGACAGCACACAAGGGGAGCATACTATAACGCTTGCTTCTTTTCAAGGGATTCTTTAAAGTTCTTTAAAGATACTGTAACAAAATCTCGTATATATTGCCATTTATATAGCGCCAACAGATTCCGTAGCGCTTTACAATATTATGAGAAGGGGGATTTAACTATAAATAGGACAATTACAAGAAAACTTACAGGAACGATAGGTCAAACAAACTTACAGTCTATATTACATTGTACTTGTACAAAAAACAGTTATTTAGCATTTTAAAAAAAATTCACTTTTTAGGACTCCTCTATTCCTCATTCTCTCCTCCCACTGCGATCCTGAGTTTGAAAGTATATTATTGCTTATTTAATATTTCAATGCAAAAACCTACTAGGAAAACCATAAAATGTGTTGCGTTAAGAAACAGAAATGTTGCCTTTCCTAAACATTTCCAGCTCTGTAAGGAACACACGTCTCATTGCTTTAACATTCTATTAAGGTTAGCTCTTTCTGCTCATTGACCAGTAAAATGGGGTGACCAGGCCTCTTCTTCATTTAGGATTGAAAACAAGGAAATGTTGGACTGAAAACCGAAAAGGACGTTTTTGTGTAGCCATTGCCAGTTACAGGAAGGGCCAGTCACTCATCACCAAAGTAGGCTAATAATATTGGAATGCGTCATTGTTTACATGGTGCAATTGATGAATTGTGGCTTGTTGGCTGATTATTGTATTAGTCGACTCCTGTGTACTATGAATGGACCTTGTAAGAATTCTCATTTCCAGTAGACTGTTTGGTCTCATCCTGGTTTATCATAGATGTGTATTCTGCATTTTTAAAAGTGAACTCATTATGTTACTTGAAAGTTTGTATGAAATTAAACCACATAAAATATATTCTCTACGTAAATTGAACTTGCCATGAAATAAACAGAAATAAACATATCCTGCATAATTGAACGACAATATACTTATAGATATTAATGGGGGGAAATGCTATGCGGTAACCAGAGTTAAGTTAATTTTTTGCTATAAAATTAAAGATGCAGATAGATGTTGATGTCTGCTATTAGCTTAAAGAGAACCTACAATCTCAGAAATAACACTTGTTTTTTGGGGGGACTACAGGTACCCATTCTCCATTACCGGTGTTTTTAAAAATATATTTTTAAAGAGATTACTTACCTAATTTCGAGTGTTGGGATTCCTCTGCTGCAGTTGCCTGCTCCACCTTTCGAAGACGTCTTCCATAATCTGCTCCAGTCCAGTGCTTCTCACCGAAGCATTGAATTGGAACTAGGCATGCACGCTCCTCAAATTAGATACCGCTATCAGTAGCATTTGATTCCAGAACTGGGTTTCACTGTTTTGCAGTGTTTTTCATTGCAGGGTTAAAATGACAGGAACACTGCATTGAGATGAAGTGGGGACTTTAGTGGACCTCCAAGGAGGAATATGGGAGAGGTGAACAAGGAGGAATATATTTGTAATGTAGGATGTATAGTAGCTACAGCTATTAGGTATTTTGAAAAGTAAATACAATATGGTAAATTAAGAAGACTGGAGTGGAGACTAGTGTGATATGCAGAACCCACTGCAGTGTTCAATACGTTTTCTATATGCCTTGCTCTCAGCCCATTCAAAATATGACCCAGAATCCATTTTTTTTAATTACCTGAATTTCTCTCCAGACAAGCACATTAGAGAAGTTATAAAACATATGGAGATTATTCTGAACATGTACCATTGTTTCCATTCTATTTTGCATAAATAGAATCAGTTGCCCTTTATGTCTTACCAGTAGGTGTGAACGCTATCATTATCAATAATGTGTTCTGGAAGCGCCCTGGCAGAAGTTCACTAGACTTAATTCGTTAGGAAAATAGCACAATTGTTTGAAAGCAACATAGAAAGATGCCATGTCCTTCCTTCCTTGGTCTGAGAATGCTTCTCAGAAGGTAAATTAGACAGTTGACCAGAGGAGGGGACGGAATTCTATGAATGTATATTCTACTATTTTTAGGCTTCTCCACCAATCAGGAATGCTTACCTCCCAAAATTTGAAAGGCACAGGGAGGGGCAGTTTTAAGCGTGTGACTGGAGGTGTGGCCAGGGGTTGAGCTGTTCTGAGAAATTTTAGGTGACTTATTAATAACAATTTATGCAACTAAAATAAAATTTAGGACAGAAACAATGTATCTTATTTACACAGATTGTTCTCGAAACACATTTATTGTGGTTTAAAGACACATTACTCTGAGTATTATTGCTTTGGAGGTCTTTTATACACTCAGACTCACCAACAATACAGAGCTTTTAAAAAACAGGATATTAGTATAGAAAAGAGGGACAGAGGGATGGGCTGAAAATGGGGACTGTCCCTCCTAAGTAGAGAGAGTTGGAAGGTATAACAAATGTGTGCAAAAATGGAGAGGTAGTCCTGTGGGATCTTATGATGATTTAACAAACCTGAACACCTATAAATGATCAGAAATGCAACTGTGCAACATGGTTTAATACTCCTTCATGGCTAGGTGTTAGACAAATTCTCTTTGTATCATGCAATGGCAAGCTATCTGTCAGAATAGGGGATAAAATGTCTGACTATTACTTGAAACTTATCCCGTTTCTCATCCACGTTAAGAATACCTTAATAGTTTCTTTGTCTTTGCCCTGTGAGATCACTCAGTTGGCCGATATACAAGTTTTTCCATCACAAGTTAAAATGATACAGTCCAAGGTGGATCTAATGAACACTCAGGCAAACAAATAGATGTGTTATAGCAACTTTACTTTAATCACTTGGTTAATTTGGTTTGCATAGAGAGAGAACATAAAAGCATAGGTTAATTCTGTTTACTTGAGTCAAATGATGATGCAGTATTTATCATATTAGCAGGACGATGAGATAATTCCCATTAATGACTCTGATTTCCATTATTATTACTTATAAAGCAGAGTGCTGCAATGTGGGTATAGCATGGGGTTTTGGACAGAAAGCTAAAACATATAGTGCCAAAAAAGGATTTAAACTCATATATCATTCATTATCACTAAGCAGTTACTAATGATTTTTATTATAGTGTTATCATGTATACTGCAAGTTTCAATAGAGACAAACCAGCCATGCACCCAATGTTTACACATTGTCACTAGGTGTTATCCCTGTCTCCATATCTGCTCTGTTTTACTTCATTCTGCCAAGTCACTTGTACTGTAAACAATAAGTAGTCGCTCAGTACTAAACTGTTGTGATATTGTTTATACAGTAGAACAGGAATTAATAATGGTTCCTGAATTTGTGACTGTTGGTACCTACGAGTCATTTATTTAAGATTCTAAAAACTTGTCATACTCTATGGCTACTGGAATCTAAGAGACTAGCTCCTAAATGCGTAGGACTGGCCTGAGATTATAAAAGTTACCAAAATTCTTATCTAGCCATCCCATCTTACCATGAACCTTCCATCACAATCTCATCCTCTTTACCTGCAGTTCTTTGGCTCCTTAAAATTCTCTCTAGATTGTAATCTGTATCCAGCTTCAGGAGGGGCCAGTTTATGTTTTCCAGACTTAAGGCTGTCAAAGGATAGTGAGATTTAACCCCTTAAGGACCAAACTTCTGGAATAAAAGAGAATCATGCCATGTGTCCTTAAGGGGTTAAAGTTCTGCAAAAGTTCTATTTGGCCACCTCTCCTGTACCACGTTTATCAACGCTTGAGGCTGACACAATGTTCATTCTGATTATTATCATTATTGGCATTTATAAAGTGGGAAATGTTACATAAATGAGTCAATTATAAATTATTACAGGAACCCTGAGGACCCTGTTCGAACAACCCAGCAACATGGTGGGAAAAGTAGCAGAATTGGAAGATGAGCGTGGACTGCGCCCCTTTGGGAAAGATGCTTTCAATACTTTCCTATGGGGATTTCAGCGACGCTGGAGGGCCTCACATAGCATGAGGACGTCCAGCGACGCTATAGCACAGAAAATCTTTGCTATAAACCAGGAAGTGCCCTCTAGTGGCTGTCTTGTAGACAGCCACTAGAGGAGGACTTAACTCTTCAAGGTAAATTTTGCAGTTTATGAAGACTGCAATAATTACAGCTGCAGGGTTAAGGGTAGTGGGAGTTGGCACCCAGACCACTCCAATGGGCAGAAGTAGTCTGGGTGCCTGGAGTGTCCCTTTAAATGCCTGTGAGATATCTTAAAAAGTGCGAGTTAGCAGTTCAGGTAAAAGCTGCAGACAGGAGAAGGTCACCTGCGGAGCGACCCAGAAAGTGTGTACCAATGACATAGTGATGGCATGCAGTGGTGGGTAGAGTTGAGCTTTTTAAGTAAGGGTTAATATTTTGAATTTAATCCAGTAGGGTACAAGAAGCCAATATAATAACTGACAGAGGGGCAAGGTGCAAGAGGAGCAGCAGGAGAGAAAAATCATCCTAGTAGCAGCATCCATTACAGACTGTAGTGAAACAGTATGGTTTCATGATCAACCCTATACATTTTTTAATTCACCTTAGTAACTACAACCCTACACCCTTCAGCACCAGAGGGTCCTGCAGTGCTTTGTAATGATTTACAGATCTTCCTGGCTCTGAGGTAGTTAAGTTCTAAAAACTACACATCATGGGAAGTGCTATAGAAAGGTCAGAATGGAGATTTTTTTTCTCTCTCTCCTCCCCCCCCCCACCCCCTTTATTGTTGATTTTCAAGGTCTGTTCTCAGAACCACACAATCCCACAGCCCCCACACGCCAACATCTGGCAATCCCCAATAGTAAAAGTCGACTTGTTGGTATAAGGAAGTTAATGAACATTAAATAAAGGTTATTTAGGATATCCTATACAGAAAATGCCTGAACACTAACACAGATGTTGTTGGTATGTATTCAGTAATTTTTCCTTTTTTGTTTTTTCTTTCTTGTGATACGGGCCTCCACTTTTTTTGTCTTCTTTGTAAGAAAAATTATGCGGAGAGTATATCCAGACATTTTATTGTAAAGTAGAGCAAGGGTATAGGACATATCCCAGTTTGGCTGTTGACAGATGGGAGGATTACCTGTATATATGACTTAAAGATAAGTTGATTACCTGAATGATTATTTTAAATACATAAACAAGAAAATATAGTGACATCACTGTACTTCACAGGTAAGTTGATTGCCTGGAGGGTCACAAATGTTTTAAATGGGTGCATACAAACTACTAAAACTATTGCACAATATGCATATGGAAACAATCTTGGATAGAGACATCATTTGTATCACGTTAAGGGTTATTTACTTAAGTGTGATATGTAAAAATTCACTTTGAAATCACATTGAATTCCTGACATTATAGGCCAAAGCATTGCTGACTAAATTAGTGATGGGGTTTTATTTTTATTGTCTTGTACAGGTTTGATCGTCACCGTTCATTATCCTGTTGTTATACTTTTAATATAAATGCTTTCTGATGGACATACCCCTATTAGCTTTATTTACCACATTATGACCTTTCTAACAATCGTGTTTGCATGCGCATCATCATCTACTGATTGTATTCAAAAATACATCAAGATATTCCTTTGAGCTCAGATTATGTTTCTCTCTTTAATGTTCACATTTATATTGCATTAATTTTTTTCCAATTATTATTTTTTTTAAATGCCGTAAATGTCCTTCACAATTTGAATTTATGATTTCATTGACACATAGTTCTTGAAGTTGTTTTTAATCATCGTTTGGAGAAAAGGAAGTTTAGTTGCACTAAACCATATATTCTAGTCAACATACACTTGTTAAAATATGTATATTAACTTTCTCCTGCTGTTGACAGCTTGGTTTAGCTTCTAAACACCTATGGAATGTACACAAGGCTTTGTTCAAACAACTTAAAACACCTTGTGGTGATACATTAAACAAACGTGGAACATGTCTATTAAAAAGCAGCTTGTTTCCTTGTATGTCTGTATCCTTGGCTCTCTGTAAACGAGGATTAGTTGGGCATGTAGGTACCTTCACCCTATCTACAGTGATTACAAATAAGAAAACCTTCTGTGAATGGTCTGTGAGACACACATTTAAATGTAAAATTACAAAATTAGTCATTTGGGTGACTGATCATTACACAAATTAGAGATATACACTCATTTTTAAATGTAAGAATAGTGCTGTTATCGTGTTTTATGAGATCTTACAATGTGTTTGCTGTAATATTAGTGGCTGAGACCTAAGGGTGCCCTTGCAGTGGAATATGGCACTTTGTTTAGAGTTTTCAATCAGAATTGCAGATAGTAGATCCATGGTTTCATGCTGATGCCAAATTACAATCTGAGTAGGTGGCATCAGATTATTGCTTTATTAAAATCTGAGATCGATTATAATGTTGCGTTCAAGTAGCCAATTGGGTTATTGGCATGTTCTCGTCCCAGACGGTGGCATCAAGTCATCGCTATGTTAGGTTATTGCTGTATTTCAGCCTCATATGTGATAATAAGAATGGTGGTGTGAAAAATAATGTGATAGTAACTTCAAAATTAAACGCTATTTTATTTTAAAACACCATGAGGATTTTTTTTAAATCACATTTGAACTCTTACATTATTTTTGACAGTCTTAATTAATCTAGCTAATGATATTCTTAATTATATGTAGCCATTTGCACGACATGTAAACACAGTTAATTAGAATGTTATCACTAAGCTGCCGCATAGGCTGACATTCAGAAGGTTAAAGGGACACATAGTCACCTGAACAACTTAAGCTTAATGAAGCAGTTTTGGTGTATAGAACATGCCCCTGCAGCCTTACTGCTCAATCCTCTGCCATTTAGGAGTTAAACCCCTTTGTTTATGAACCCTAGTCACACCTCCCTACATGTGACTTGCACAGCCTTCCATAAACACTTCCTGTAAAGAGAGCCCTATTTAGGCTTTCTTTATTGCAAGTTCTGTTTAATTAAGATTGTCTTATCCCCTGCTATGTTAATAGCTTGCTAGACCCTGTATGTGATTAAAGTTTAATTTAGAGATTGAGATACAATTATTTAAGGTAAATTACATCTGTTTGAAAGTGAAACCAGTTTTCTTTCATGCAGGCGCTGTCAATCATAGCCAGTGGAGGTGTGGCTAGGGCTGCATAAACAGAAACAAAGTGATTTAATTCCTAAATGACAGTGAATTGAGCAGTGAAATTGCAGGGGAATGATCTATACACTAAAACTGTTTATTTAGCTAAAGTAATTTAGGTGACTATAGTGTTCCTTTAACTATGTGGAAGAGAAGCTCAGGCAGTCAGCTCTTCTGTGTTCTAATTATTAGCTGGTAACATTAGAATTGATTTAGTTCATTCTCTCTCAGCTACCATAACCAGAAGGGGCAATGTATGATAGCGCTAGGCTTCTCCAACCATCGATCAGTACCAGTAAGGTTGGCAGCAACAACAGTGCCATTCATTTAAATGAATTCTAACAGATGACAGTGTTGCAAACAACTGGAGTGCCATGGTTGTACAACACAAATATGTGTTAATTTTTAATTTAAAATCTCATTTAGAATAATAAAAAAAGAAACACTGACACACGTGTGCAAGTATGTGTATATGTATGTATATAGAGCCTGCAGCAATCTGATTATTTTCTGCACCCAGGAACAAGTAAATGTTTAAACAAAACAAATTGGGAGAGAGAGATATATGAAGGTGCCGTTAATGGAAAAGTGACGCATGCATCTAAAAATGGACTAGTCTTTGTAAATACCAGTGGGAGCAGCAGGAACAAACCATCTGGTTATATGGCAATTGCTCAACTCTTTAGAACTTTGTCTCTCGCATCGTTGAGTTTGTAAAAGTGCACCTCCTGTTTTCTGGGTTTTCCCCTTTGCTCTTTGGAAGAGGAAGTGACCGAGTAAAAGGGAGCTGGCGTTTCCAGCTTACTGAAAAGGAAATAGAAAAGCTCTTAAATTATACCTAGGTGTGATCATGTCTTCACATGCACTTAAAAACATTACAGTCTGCCCTTTCAAATGTAGAATGCACTTGATTTTTATCTTTTAGTAAAATTGCTGCACGCATGTGGAAAGTCACATTAGTGAACCATGCTTGCTGAATCAAGCCAAGTGTAAAACCATTCAGTAAAAATTGTGATTCTTATACTTCCGTATACCAACCCCAATTCTTCCTATGGACAAATATCACTATGGTTAGACATTGTAGGATACTGAGCGCCTATGGTATCTATATGTAGAATGGCATTTTGTATTTTTTGGGGAAAGCTGGGATTTGTATGGTAGCACACACAACATACAAATGTTTGGACACACAGAAGATAAAATGTAGCTTCCTTCTCAGACATCAGGGACTGAAGGAGCCGGCTTATAGCTGCAGCAGTTTTTTCAGTTGTTATGGTGTGTTGAGTGTCCCTGTAAGTGGAATTGTGTAGTTATTAGTTTTGCATTAAATCTACTTAAAAAGTAATTTGAGTCGTGTCATCCAAAAATATAAATGTATCAGTCTATCCAAGTAGAAATAGCATTTTGTGTTTGTAAACAGAACCTTTACACCCTTTGAACTTTGTGAGTAATGTTCTCTATTTATCCCTCGGAGTGAAGATTCTGGGGTCAGAAATGCCATATCATTAAACTACATAATTTTATGGTTTTATTGCTTTACTAATGAGTTGAAGATCTGCGATTCCACATCAAATGGCTGATGCCACCTACTGGTTGGTATTAGTCTTTATAACATTAAACTTAGAAATTACAGGGTGAAAGCTACATAACTGTATAAATAGGTACTTGAAGTTAGATGTTGGCACATAGATAGGAATAGGTTTCCATTTAGGTGTATCTTGTTATTGTTCCCAGTACTTTCTGCTCATTTATGAGGTAATTATACAGTCATAATTATCTGGAGTGAATTTGGAATAATGGAGAAATGTCCAGGCAATAACATATTTTAAGCCAAATTAAAAACCAAATATATATTTCCTGGTTTAGTGGATTAACCCCAGAAATGAATACTTATTTACAAAATTAATTGAATTGTGAATGAATTGTAAAAATTAATTGAATTGTAAAAAGAGACACTATATGTTATAAAGTTTGTTGCTGCAGTTTATAAACATAACATTAGTGTATAAATCTATATTATGTTGGATGGGCTACAGAAGATTATTATAATACTGAAACCCACCTGTAACCTATAGGCATGTCTATAATCTGCTCAGATATCTTCTTTATATAAATTGTCCACTATTGAAAATACAATTGTTTGCAGGGATGTAAGGACAGAATACAAATCCTATATTTTTTATATGTTCTGTTCCATTAAAATATATTTGAATTTTAAAATGGCTCCTTATGTATTGACCACTAAAATAGCCTTTTATCCCAAAATAGCTAAACGGGATGAATAGTCGACCAGGCAAATTATTAGAATTAGTTATTTTGGCCTAAATTTGCAAGGCCCTGCACAGCTTTTTCTCAATTTTATTGAAACACTTCCTAGTCTTTTTTTCTTATGTAAGAACATATATGGGGCTTTAAAATACTTATCACAATGAGAGTAATGATAACTTGTGGGTTTAATTTCACTGTGAATCGTGGTTTGTAGCAGATATATGTAACATGTCTGGCCTTATCATTTTGAAGCCAGTTGGAATTACACAATTACAACTTTTAGGGAGGCATGTACTAATTCACTGTAAGAGGGAAAAGAAATCATTATAAGACAAAAAATCAACAAAAAACATTTGCAACATGCCAGAACCAAGACAAATTAAGTGTGAAAAATTAAGTGTGCTTCAGTGATAAATAGTGGCTAAAACGGCACACTATAAATATTTCTTGCACACAATAGCATGTTTGAAGGTTGTCAGACTGTGGGGGCAGCGTTGTTTGCACCAAAACCACTAGACATGTAATAGTGGTTTTTAGTACTTAGAATCTCCCTTTAAAGAACATATTACAATGTATTTTAAACACATTGACAGCCAACCTGCCAAAATATTTCTCTTCTAAAAATCTCTACTACTTTAGTCTGGGAAATTACAGATGAACATTATTGATAAGTGTTTGTGCTAAAGTAGTCTTTACTGTAACATTAGAAGGTGACTAAAAATATGTGCAAAGTTACACAGTGCATTGTCTTGTTTATAAAGCTAAAAGAAACATCAGTCTTTTAATGTAACATGGACTTTGTTTTAGTTAAATCTGCCACAGCGCTTGCTTGTTGTTTGTTTTTTCAGATTGTGATCCATAGATTTATTTTTTTTTATTGTGCATTTACGATTAGTTTACTTTGTGTTTTGTATCTTTTATACATATTTGTTCATCCTCCACTCATTTGATAATAAATCATATGAAAATACACTGTGCTGGTTTTAGCTGAAATGTCAATGCATTAAATGCAAGTGGAAACATTGAAATGATATACCTTTTTTTCTCTTTTTTGTTTTATTTCAGCCCACAGCACTTTAAGTGGCATTAATGCAACAATGCTGATGTTTGATCCAGTTCCTATCAAGCAGGAGGCCATGGAGACTGTGTCCATGGTAAGTACAATTTGGGGGGAGCCATTCTTCAATTGCAATTATATTGAGCCAACATATTAAGCAGCGCTGTACAGTAGGTAAACAAGACAAACATTTTATTTTGACAAAATACATTTGACAGACAGAAACAGAAGGTGAAATAGGCCCTGCCCGAATGAGCTTACACTCTAAAGGAGGGATGAGGGGCAAATGCACCAAGAAGAGGTTGAAGAAGATTGCATGCGATGAGGAGTAAAGAGTGAGCTGATAGGATTCTCTAAAGAAGAGTATTTTTTAGAGATTCTTCTGAAGGACTGTAAAGACTCAGAGATGTGAAGAGCATTGTATACAGCCTGTATAGAGCAGATATGGAACACAAGGTGATAGTGAGAATCAGATATGTTGTCATTTACAGAGATGGCAGCTGTATAGATATTGCTGAATTATTTCTACAACTAATTGTTTTTGTGGCTTTTTTAACGCGTGACAAATAAAATATGAAAAATTATCTCATACTGTAAAACCATTACTGGTTAACCGAGTTGGTTAACCATCGGGCTGCCAGTAAATGTATTTTACAGAGGCATGCAATAGTTATGTAACTATAAATTCTCTATGTACAGCTGTTCAGCACTTTAAAAACTGCAGTTTAATAAAATCACCTAAAAACTTGTGACTTTCTAACATTTTCCTTTGGCACCTGATACAAATTATATCAAGGACTCTTAATTTCTACAAACAATGAAATGCTGGGTGTCAACCAATTGTATCAGGAAGTCCAAGGTTCTAATTCACTGCTGGTTTTAAACTCTGCATCCTTTTTCTATTTTTGCTTTTAAGATATTTTATAATTTGTATTTAAGATTTGAAGTTATTTAAAATTCTTACTATGTTTTGTAAACTCCATTGCCTAATTTGTATTAGCTGTTAATAATCATATGTTTTGTTTATATGTTGTACTGCACTGCAGAATATGTTGGTAGCATTTTAATGTAAGAGCACGGTTACGGATGTCAGATTCCCATGCAGTTTTGCCAGATTAATTAAAGAAATAAGCATTGTACTCTTCTATTCCTAAAACAGAATTTCTTCTTAATTTTTGTTTTAGGACTTCTTGTTTTTGTTAAACATCAGATTGTCAGACTGAAAATGTAGAACCACAAAATTGAGTATAGGCAAGCACATCTTGTTTAAAGTAGATAGTTCCCAGCTGTGACTTTTCACATTTTGAATGTCAAATCTGGCCCGTATGGAATGTGACTGTTTTTATAAATGGAATGAACATATTACTATGTCAGATTCTGGTTGGAAAGTCAAGGGTATTACCATTTTGTGCTTTTGTTTATTTAACAGGACCGGTTGTCAAATGACAGCCAGGGGGTGTAATACAATTTATAAGTGCCAATTTGTGATGAAATCTGATGTTTTTTGTAAAAACAAGAAAAAGAGGACACGCTCTTTCCTACATAACGCACTTCAGCAAGCTAAAGTTCTTTAGGTGTTTTGAGTTTTCCTTTAATCCGTTTCACACATTTTCTACTGAATGTATGGAGACCTTTGGATACTGTATGAAAGATACTTAATAGAGAATCATATTATAACTTTTTAAATTAAAGGGACACTATACTCACCAAAACAACTCTAGCTTAATGAAGCAGTTTTGGTGTATAGATCATGCCCCTGAAGTTTCACTGCTCAATTGTCTACCATTTAGGATTTAAGTCACTTTTGTTTCTATTTATACAGCCTCCCCTGGCTCACCTGCCTATGTCTGACACAGCCTGCATGTAAAAAAACAAAATGGTTTCATTTTCAATTAGATGTTATCTTACCTTAAAGATTTTTATATCCTGCTCAGTAAATTGAACTTTAATCACACACAGGGGGCACTTGCAAGGTGTAGCAAGCTATTAAATGTGCAAGAGCCAATAAATTCTAAATGAAACATAATTTGCAATAAAGGAAGTGTAAAAATTAGACAACTCTTTACAGGAAGTGTTTAGGCATTCTGTGCAAGTTACTTGCAGGGAGATGTGTGTACGACTGCATAAACTAAGTGATTTAACTCCTAAATGACAGAGAATTGAGCAGTGAGAGTGCAGGGGTATGATCTATACACCAAAACAGCGTAATTAAACGAAAGTTGTTTTGGTGACTATAGTATCCTTTTAAGTGGTTTCTTGACGCTTTGCCCAAGAGACTCCAGTGGTGATTTATAGGTGATTTGAAAACAAACTCACAAAATTTAGACTAAAAATGTTTTTTGTTGAAAAGCTAAATATTCAATTCTAAAATTAAACTTTTGCATTCTCTTGGGGCTTAGGATGCTAAACGTGCAAGGAGAGGGATTTTACAAACACTGTAAAGACTTCACTCAAACACTCCTCGCACCTTACCTGCTATAATATAAATCTAATATAATATAATATAAGTTTTGAAAGCTACTTTCATAAGAGCACACAGGGAGGATGAAACGGTCCACTCTCTAACCTAGCATGGTTTATTATTTCCAGGATAGATCTTGTTGTACTGACCAACCTGGTGCCAAACATTTGAGCTATTTAAAAAAACAAAACACAAAAACATCTAATTAGGAAAAGTATGGGGGATTTTACAGTCTACTCTGCTTGTAAATTTTAACAACAGCTGTACTGTACTCATAAATAAAATCTTTGAATGCTAATTCACTTAATTGAATGTAAAAGAATGGAACATGTACAGTTAGGAACGATTTTACAAACTGTTTATGAACTTGCACCGACCTCGGGTTAAATCATAGGTAGTGGAGCCACGAGATATTTCTATGTTGATACAGTGTTCCGTTTGTATATATCACTCTCTTGCCGCTGTAATGATTGCACATTTTCCATTTTCTCAATCTATAAAATGTTATCCCAGTATAGGCTTTATTTTTTCACAATTGCTTTTAACCAGAACACTTTTTTTTAAAACAATTAATTATATCTATGGCCCTGGGAGTGGCCGACAGCTACTCCCAGACATGGTTTGTCTTCTGTAGTACAAATACATAGACAGCCATCCATAATGGAAGGAGCCAGTCTGTAAATACTCCTTATGCCTCCTTTTTATTTTTGGAAGGGGCGACAGAATTCATCCTTCTGACTTGCTTTGCAAAAGGGTTGTGGAAGACTACAAATTGCCCCTTAAAAAGAGAAGTACGCAACAATCAGTCCGGATTCGGGTTTCCAACGTGCTATAGCCAAATAGTCCGGCGTCTCACCAGCCGGATGCAATTGTCCCTAAGGCAGGATGTGAACACTCAGGGCTCCCCCATTTAAAACCTCGGTAATTGTTTTTGCAGGTCATGAATGGAAAAAGGTTATTCCCCGGAGAGCAATAAATGTGATTCATAAGATGGTTATAAAGTTCCTTTAATTCTGTAAAGTTTCTGCGTAGCTCGTATTTCTGCAGCTTCCTTGACTGTGGAATATTTAAACTATGGCATTTCCATCATCACATGGAATCAATGTGTGTTTTGCTGCTTGCACAGCCCCCAATGAGATCAGATGTTTAGTAGGAGTTAGAACCAGTCTAATTGTCTGCACATGTTGCTTTGTATTCCAGTTGTAAATGTGTGTTAAGTGTGACATTTATAGGATTGTCTCAAACCATGATTACGTTATCTCCCAGCTAACAAGTTGCCAACTCTGCTTAACCCTTTAATCTCTAGAGGGGTGCTCGGTGTATTGATTGACCCTCAGTGGGTTGTTCAATCCATTGCTAAGCCGTTCAGGAGTAGCTAAGGCAGGGGTTCTCAACCCAGTCCTCAGGACCCCCTACCAGTCCAGGATTTGGGGATTACCTGGGTGTGTCTCAGGTGTTTAGAAAAAGGGGAAAAAACACCTTAGATTCTAAGGTGTTTTTTTTTCTTTTTATTAACACCTTAGACACACCCAGGTAATCCCTAAACCCTGGACTGGTAGGGGGTCCTGAGGACTAACGTTGAGAACCCCTGAGATAAGGGGTTAAAGTTTACTATACTTTGCATTGTAATGCAAAACGCATCTACTGACATGGCAAAGTAGTATCTAGCGGTAAGACTGAGTCGCTGGCAGCCCTTTCAGATGGTTTTAATTGTTAAAGGACCACTCTAGGCACCCAGACCACTTCAGCTTAATTGAAGTGGTCTGGGTGCCAGGTCCAGCTAGGGTTAACCCATTTTTTCATAAACATAGCAGTTTCAGAGAAACTGCTATGTTTATGAATGGGTTAAGCCTTCCCCCTAATCCTCTAGTGGCTGTCTCATTGACAGCCACTAGAGGCGCTTGCGTGCTTCTCACTGTGATTTTCACGGTGAGAGCACGCAAGCGTCCATAGGAAAGCATTGTAAATGCTTTCCTATGCGACGGGCTGAATGCGCGCGCAGCTCTTGCCGCGCGTGCGCATTCAGCCCAGGAGGAGGAACGGAGGAGGAGAGCTCCCCGCCCAGCGCTGGAAAAAGGTAAGTTTTAACCCCTTTCCCCCTTCCAGAGCCAGGCGGGAGGGGGTCCCTGAGGGTGGGGGCACCCTCAGGCCACTATAGTGCCAGGAAAACGAGTATGTTTTCCTGGCACTATAGTGGTCCTTTAATTGTCATGAAGCAGAATAATAGGGTAGCTGTCTTAGACATATAGGTATTTAACAATGATGCAGGTCTCCAAAAGCAGGGTTCTGCTGTAACACCTTAGAATATACACTTTATAAAATTAGCAGGTTGTATTGTTTTATCAAAGTCCATATTTAGCTAATTCATTTTATTTATTTAAAAATGTCTTCCTTCAAATCATGACATGCTTGTTCTTTCTAGTAAAGCATATATATACATCCAGATATATTTTTAATTGTGTGCTGAGGGTAAGTTACACCCCCAGCACACATAAAATAGGCAGCCCAGAGCTTTGTTCCGGGCTGCCTTAGGTCAGTTTTGTGCATAATTTGCGTCTGTCGTCAGAGCGGAAGAGCCTGCAAGGGAGAAGTACTTGACTTTCCTGTCTTCCACACAGAGTGAAGCCCTACCTCCTCCCAATTAGATTAATATATATTTTTTATTAATACCACCCTCCCTCCTGTCCCATGCACTCCCCCTTCCCGTTCCAGGCACCAAGTGCGCTCTTGCTCTCTGAGCCTTTTAAGTCCTCAAATCAAAGGACTCTCAATGAGGAGCCTTTGATTGGACCTCGGCACAACCCCCGTGACATCACACGGGGTGCCCTGAGCAGCAACAGGAAGCTTGCCCGGTGCTGGATTCAAGTAAGTAAAACTTATTTTAGAATTCTCCTTTATTTTTGAAAGGACATATAAAAGGGATACATTTCATCTACAAATGCATTGGGTAGATGCAATGCCTACAGTGCTCGCCTTTTAAAAGCGAACTAGATAAAGATATATATTGTTGAAATGTTGCACTGCGTTTCTGGGTTATAATAAAAGGGATATCATAAAAATTTCAAGGAGTACTGGACATTGTCTTTATCTTTGAGTATTGTTCTGACGTGTTAAAACCAGAGTCCTGTGCACCCTTGGCTAACAGTGGTCTTCCCATTCAACTGTTTATAATTTCAAATGATCAAAGTTGTTGCAGCCGTGTGAGCCTTAATTATCAAACACATAGTGTAGTTCTGAAATATCCTCCTCCACTTTCTTCTCAAATCTAACTGGTAGAACTGCCAGGAGACTAATCATATGTGCTGTAGCATAAAGGGTTTACTGCCTTGATGTTTCCTGTAAAGTTTTGGGAATCCAGGATGTCTAAGGTGTGTGGACTGAGGCCTTAGAGCAATATGGAAATCACATTCCTCCCCATACATTAGTATGTAGACATGCTCTCAACTACTGTAACACGAGAAGGAAGGCAAATCTGTCTAGGTCCAAAGAGAAAGGAAGGCTCTTTCATTTGGCATAAGCCACAGAACCTCCACTCGGTTAGCCTGTGCCAGCTGCTTATCATGACATCATTTTTCCTTGGAACTGCACAAGCATTTTTTCGGTTTACATTATGAAACAACTTCTGTAAAATAACCACCAGAATTCTGCTTGTATGAAGTCATCTTCTCTGGCCCTTCGGGAATTAATTTCCTCAAAGAACATGTACAGCATGTTAAATAACAATTAAAAGGAGCGAGAGTTAGATCTTTTAGATTTAATCTTCTCAATTCGCATCTGGTTTATTTAAGTAGCTATCGTCATAATATTTGCCACATGGGTAGTGGTTTATTTAGCAATAAAGTTTCCTATGAAAATATGAATACAATCTGGTGAAATGATATTATAAGGTGTTGAAAGTGATGGAGAAAAAAACATAATTTAATGGAGCAAATTTTTCTAAAACCCGTAAAAGATTATATTATGTACCATTTAATATGCTTTATTATTTCGGGTGAAGTTTTTTTGGAGGGCAAGATAAATAACGATAAAATAATTTTAGTTGTGACAAACATTATGTAACGGTTAATAATTTGTTTTAAAGTTAATTATGAATTGCATAATTCATGTATAAATGAGGGAGAGAGAGCAACTGCATGCAGTCCATTGGTTGAATATGTAAACTGAGACCTTGATACGCTTTTACCCTTTCCAGATACGAGTCTTACGTGTTATAAGCATGGTTTATCACTTTTGTAAACATTGCTGTAAAAAAGGGAAATATTAGCCCTACAATATGTATTCCTTCACATTCTTCAATTGTTACCAGATGCCATCAGATGCCAGGAATGTCTTCTGTTGTCTCAGCTGAGATCGTCAAAATTAATTATCTCAGCCAATCCAATGCTTTCCCATTGGTAGACTATTGTGCATGTGTGGCAAAATGCTGCGCTAATCAATGCAACTCTGAGGAACGTGCAAAGTGTGGAGACACTGAACATCAGTGCTGCGCATCTGAGTGACTGCCACTACAGGTGTTCCTTGGCAGAAATGTAAAAGGCAGTGTTTACATTAAAAGCTCCTGCAGGGACAGGCTGTAGACACAAAAACAACTACATTTAGCTATAGTTGTTCTGGTGACTATAGTTTCCCTTTAAGGCGCGGGATTTAAGGTTACTCCATAAATAACCATACTTTATGTAGAGTAGTTCAAGAAGAGATATTTCTCTTTAACTATTCTTACTCATCCAGTTGCATGCAGTGTCTTATCTACTCGTAGTGAATTAAAATCCAAATGGCAAAATGCAGGCAAAAATAATTGATATCAACATTGTCTTGCTAAGTTATAGGCAAAGCTTGGTTATTTAAGCATAAATTACGCATTTCTATTTTCAGTTTTCTGAAACTGCTATATGTTCTCCTTAATCTTATAGCAACAATTGGCATTACCACTACGACCATTTCTGATGGTAGGCATTTCACATTTTTGGGGAGAGCTAGCTAGCTCAACTTTACAGAGGCCCTGCTGCTAACCTTTCACTTGCTTTTGTCCTTTTTCACAGCCGTAGGAGTTCAGTTTGGTAATAATTAAAAGGAAAATGACATGCAGAGAAAACAGTTTTTTTGTACTTTGTGTTTTTTCACGGGAACTCTCTGCCAAGGGTAACGGAGGTGTGGGGTCAGCACTATTATTTAAAGACTTGTTCCAGTGCCTACTAAAATGCATATTCCAAGTTTACTTTAAATGGAAAACCAGATTTCCTCGATTCAGCTATATTTTTATAGTCCCTTTTTAAGCAAATGGTGAACTTTTTTAATTTTTTTTATTTAATCATGAAGTCACCGTCTTCTCCTTTTGCCAATTGCAAAAAAAAAAAGCGGACGAATGGCACCATAAAGAAACATGAGAGGGATACCGGTCCAACATGGTAAAATGTGTGTATGTGGGGGATGTGTAGGGGGTAGTGCTAATAAAGAAGATGAACATTCTAATGAAATAAAGAGTATTTCCACCGCGATACATTCGGGCTGATGCAGTAATTGCTTTATTACGGGATGAAATCTAGTCGTATAAAACCTGGTGCCAAAAGCCACACCATGGATTTTGGCAGTCGTTTGGATTTGCAGAACATATTCTTCTGTTTTTTTTTTGTCTGAATAGACATGCTTTGCTTGGCCAGGCATAGAACACTTGCAATGTCTGCCATCTGTTCTCCCTATCACTCTGTCATTGCCACCATTGCTTCGGATAACAGAACTATAACTAATCACGACAGTCTGGATTAGTACAGTGTGGTACTGCAAGGAAAAGTGATTACATTGCGTCTTTATTGCCACTGTGTTCATGTCCTTGTTAGACTAGTAGCAAGGGGTGGTGATGATTATTATATGACTTTGGATCACACCCTGGGCTGAGAGGCTACCTCATTACTGGAAGCTGCTGTGTCCCCACCCTCAGGTTAGGAGGATACTTTCGGAAATGGGAGGAAAAGTCATCATGGTGTATCTTGGCAGAGTAAACACTGAACTTGCAACATCTCGGAAAATAAAGGCAGTCGTGTAAATTATTAGCCTTGCTCAGTAAAAACACAATAAAATGTTTCTTCGCAGCTTCCACTTGGCTGGCTGAAAATGCAGATTAATATGTTTAACTAAGAGGAAATATGTGCTTGTTAGAATTGATCTTATGAACTAATTTGTGGACCATAGACCCTGTTTGTATATAAAATCTTTGTGCTTTTTCCTTTTGTCCGTGCTAACATAAAATATTATGTAACTGTGTTTTGTACAAACCTGTGTTACCAATGCTTTAGTTTTCCTGTCCCCAGATATCTAGTGCCTTAAAAAATAAAATAAAATGTTTACTAACTTTTTTCCTGCTGTTCTAAAAAAAACTATGTTTTACATTTCAAGGACCGGACTACTGCACCCAGGATATTTTTGGTGGTCCTTTAAGTCTAGTCCACTCTAGTTATGATGTTTTGTTGGCTGTAAATGCAGTAGCCTAGATTAAAATGTGAGAAAAGACAGGAACAGTGCCCAACTGGCAGTCAAAAGAGCCAGAATCTTGGTAATTGCTTAGCGAACACCAGAAGTGTCCAAATGTACATATCATGCTTTTTTTAGAACTACAGCTCACTTTGATGATCTGCTAGACTTAAGGCTAGCAAACCATCAAGGGAGTTGTAATGCTGCAGCAGCTGGGATTAACCTTTGGTCATCTTTGAGGTAAACAGTTGTATTTGCTAGAATGTTGAGATTAGATTAGAAGTGTCACTAGCAGGAAAGTGGTGAATCATTATTTGGTTGGAGCAACCTGGAAACCTGCAGAATATTTCTGATGATTCCATAGGTTTCAATAATGAATGCTTCACTTTTAGAATGTTGCGCAACATTTCTCTTATTTATGACAACTTACATAATGGTGTTTTGACCAGTCTAAAGAAGGTAACAAATGGAACGGCCCTCTTTCTGAAATTGGATGCATAGAAATCCATATATATAAAGAAGATTGAAGTGGAAAATGCTTTGCATATCTTCTCTACTCTCTTAATGTATACACTTGTTTTATAGATTTGGGTTTCACAGTTTACTCATTGTTCACTGTTTGAATGTTAACACATTTCAGTGCTGCATTGAATTATTTTTTTTTCTTCCTTCCATAGTCCTATCAACACAGCTACATGGAGCCAAACAAATACAGCGTCATATATCCCACATCGGGCATCCTGCACAATAAATTTTACCACAGCCCAGAAGCACTGACTGGTTTTCAACTAGAACCGGTTGACCTTACAACAAACAAAAGGAACTCTCCTCCTTCCAATGGAAGTTCACCATCTCCTGTGAAATACCAATCTCCAAAAAAAGGAGGATCCCCTGGACTATATATGCCTTCACCTAGCCCTCCTATGAAAAAGTTAACCCCATCACCTCCTCTTGTGCCTCCGTTTCCAATGCCATTGACAATTAACCACCCCATGATCTCAGCTTTTTCACGACATGGGTACAGCAATCCCGGACTTTTACCTCTCCTCGTGCAGCCTGTTCCCTTTATGTACTCTCCACATCTTCAGCAACAAATCATGGTATCCTCTCTCCCCATCCTAACAGATGACATGGATAGTCCAAGCAATAAACACAGTGAGTATATGAATCATATTTTATGGGAATGCCAAATGCATTCACTCTGAATACATACTGCTATACTGCTCATTGCTAGAAGCACAATATTATACTAATATATGTAATCTATCATATGGCCACATATAAGAATTCTGCCATGGCTGACAAAATAACTGGGGGAGAGACAATACCCTACCCCATAACTCTAGATGACTAAACTGAATCATGGTATAGATACAAATTCAAACCGTGTAGCTAGACACAAATTCAAACCATGTCATCTTTAAAATTGCACTCTTCCTAGGTAAACAACCTTTTATTGATATGTATGGTATTCTGTGAGGATCTAGACAAATATTCTAGTTTATTTATTCCAGAGCCTGTAAGAAAATTACACCACCAAAAAAACAATAAAAAAATATTAACCAGGGCTGAAACATCACATGTATTTATTTGTCGATTGTTTTGTGATTTTTTTTTTTATTATTATTATCTATTGTGATTGTATTTATTTTTATTTTTATTTTTTGTCTTTTTTTTTTCACTTCATTTTTTTTTTTTTTGTGATGGCTATTTGATCTCTTATCTGTACGGTTGATTGTTGGCAACTAGAAAATTGCAACCAATTTATTTTATTCTGTTTTATTTTATTTCCTAGTGCCTGTAACAGAATCTTATGAGAAATCACAACTAATAAAAACAATAAAAATCGAACCAGGGTTGGAACAACAAATGCCTGATATGTACCCAGAACAGATGTCCCCCGTTGTCAGTACAACTCCGCAAGGAATGCTGCATGAGTAAGTTCTAATGTTCTAGCTACTTTCATAATCAGCAGAGGTCAACATGTAAGCCAGGATATCTTCAACTGGTTCTCCATGAGCTTTTTAAATATGGTATCCACAAGTGGGTTAATATTAAACCCATAATTTCCATAAATACCCCCTCTAGACATTGGTGACCCTAAATCTTTGGCTACTGACGTTCTACATGAACTGGATTTAAACATACAGACTTTTAAAGTAAGCCATAATTTTTGGTGATAATAGTCTTAATATGAAAAAAAAAAATATGAATCACTGTAAGAATAAAGTGCGCTGTGCCTTTAAGACTCAAAATATTTATAAACCGTGAAAATAATTTGTGCAATATTGTGCAAATAAAGTGATCAAGTGCATCAATGTGCAACTCACTTAAACATATATAAATGCAAATTGTGCAAACAAAATATTTCTTTGTGCAGCCAATTATGTGCAAAGAGACAATACTTAGCTTTCCCAATTATGGAATATGCTTTAGGGCTTCTGTCAGCAATCCAATATATGTAAGGGTAGAGCGATAAAGTCTGCTCTAAACTTTGTAGGCTTCTATTGCAATAATGTAGGCTGGAAACTGTGGTGAAGTTAAATCCTGTATTGCTTCTTTAAAAATATCGCTGTATTAGGCTGGTAAGTCCCACTTATCTGATCACCTCTATATGGTTAGTGCTGGTGTATACAGTCTCTATATCGGCGCCGGCTATATGAATCTCTACCTAGCCAGTATGTTAATATTCAACATTTTGTCTATTGTTGCTATTAATAAACTTGTAATGTAGACTGTTGGAGTTATTCACTAAATTGAGAATTCAAAGTGATTTTTTAATTTAAGGGGAAAAGTAGCCGAACAAAGTCAGTTATGCTTTCAGTTACTCTGGCCTTGGAAGTTAAAATTCATTTTAAATTCTCATTTAGTAAATAACCCTGTCTGGCTGAATTTACAGAGTCTGACACTGTTAAGTTACCATGAATCACCTCTCTTTTTATATATATTTTTTTATCTTGATATACAAGCGTTGCTTTTTAAAAAACATCTATTGTGGAAAGGACAATACATTCAAAAGAAGCAGCTATGGGAGGGGCAGTTGTTTTAACGGGAAATAGGTAATAATGAAATTGAGGGTTGTGAGTCCCTGGAGAAAATACAATCAGTGTATATTATAGACACAAAGATTTTGTGTGTGTGTGTTTCTTTTTTTTTGTTAAATATAAACAGGCAGAACACTAATGTGGCTATGAGCTGTAATGTTCTGTATCACTAAACACAAAAAATAAAAATAAAAAATAAAATTATGGGACCAGTTCATCCAATCTGAGGTGTGGCAATATGTTGTGAATGAGAGGAGCCAATTTTAAGATTTCCTGTGGGTGTGGCGCCCATGCCTAGCCCTACTTTTAGGAATTGACGTCAGTCACAGTATTGAGACCGCGCCCTCCCGTTGGCATCAAACAGGAAATTTATAATTACTTTGACAAGGAGTGACTGTAGTAATAATGCCTGAGGTTTGTCTCCCTAAATATGAAGACTGCATTGCTCCAGTATGTCAGCCCAGGAAAAAGCTGTTTCTAATTATGTCTTCTTGAGGAAGCAGAGTCTGTAAACATCACAGAATGTTAACTGAAACTCTATAGGGTTTCGCAATCTTTAAAATGCCTGCGTGGGAAAGGAGGCTCTGTCCTTTTAATTATTTTTCCAAAAAAAATAAACTCTCGAAGATAATTCCAAGCATTTTTTTGGAAGCAAACTTTGAAGTGTGTTTATTTTTCTCCAAATAATTTGTCTGAGCCAGCCTGGAAAATTCAAGAAAATAAGTGAGGTAATATTAAAAACAGAATGAGGATATTGGGGGGAGTGAAAACCTGAAAAGCAAAAAAAATTCTCAACACAATTCTATCCAATTTACCACTTTAAGAGTGTTTTTTTAATTTGAAGTATAGCCCAACAACATCTATTGGACAACATTGCCTAGGAGTACCTGTGGGTTATTTACTAAACAGTGATATGCGGTGAATTGAAAATCGTCAAGTTGAAATACCGCTTATTTGAAGAATTGTGCAAATAATCTGTAATTTCACAGTTCAGAGTTTAGTAAATATGCATGTAGGAGTTCTGAAATGGAGGCAGTAACTTCTGCTTTGGATATATAAATGTGGTCCCTGTTTAGTGAGGTGTACTGTTTACGGTGTCTAGATCGCAACTTTAACTGTGTGGTGTAAAAAATGCTAACCAATATCTCTGCGTAACAAGGTATACAGTCTAATGTTGAAATAGCCAATTGGTAAAATGAAGGAAAAAAGAACATATTTTGCATAACATGCATGTTTTACTAATGCAGTTAATAAATGAAGATCGTAACCAATTTAACCCTTTGCCTTCACAGAAATCACCCGTCCGTCATTGTACACCCAGGGAAGAGACCTTTACCCGTGGAATCTCCAGAAACACAGAGAAAGAGGAGGATCCACAGATGTGACTATGACGGTTGCAACAAAGTTTACACCAAAAGCTCACATTTAAAGGCACACAGGAGGACACACACAGGTACACATTGCCTTTAAATATGTTGGATAAAATGTCACACAATAGAAAAGAGCAGCCTGTCATTTTACTGACAGTGGGCTACGTGCATTCAGAGTGGTGCAAAAGACAAGAGGAAAGGCTGCTTTAATACTTTAGTAACTGCTTACTTTTCAGTACTTAAAACTGGGCAATTCTCAAAATTCCAAGGGAGAGCATTTGCCAAGCCTCTGTTTTCATTTGGAGTTTGTGAGCCTGAGTGGGGACCACATTTCATGCAAAATCACATATTTGTGAAGTTGTCGAATCAGTGCTCATTTGAAATCTGAGAAAGCGTGTAAAAACATTGCAGGCTTAAACAGCAATTACACAATGACAGGCAAAGTTGTAAAGAACACACATCCACACACCTACATCTAAAGAAGGGGAAATAAAATGCCGTAGTATGAAAATTGAGAGGTAGAATATATGAGAGAGGTGACAGACTCACACAAAGAGCTACTCTGAGATTTATGTAGACAATTTAGGCAGTATAATCCAATGGCATATAGATGGTAGAGGTTCTAATTCGTAGCCCATCACCACATTTGGATCTTAGCTTGTTGTTTGGCCCATATAGTGCAATGTTGTTGTTTTTTCATTTTTGTTCTTTCACAGGACATTGCCATTTATGCATGTATATTTGTTTTTGTTTTTCTGTTTTTCTTTCTGCTTGCATAAAGAAAAAAAATGGTTCTCTTACGTCCTAATGTGATCTTCCTGCTCATTCCTGCAGGGGAAAAGCCTTATCAGTGTACTTGGGAAGGATGCACCTGGAAGTTTGCCCGTTCTGACGAACTTACTCGGCATTTCCGTAAACACACTGGAATCAAGCCATTTCAGTGCCCGGACTGTGACCGAAGCTTTTCACGCTCAGACCACCTCGCTCTTCACAGAAAGAGACACATGCTTGTCTGAATGATCCTATTGCCCTTTTTGTACTTAAAAAAAAAAAAAAAAGAAAATCTGGATTCAGCTGGCCTGAATCCAAAGTATAAAATTCCACATGGTCAGTATGTGATGTTCTCAAACAGCTCGTTGTACTTAGCACGGGTCAGACCTTAGAATGTGAACATTCTCTTTTAGAGACGGAGCAGCCCCTCCCGCAGTACACCTCAGGAAATCAACAAACGGACAGTTGTGCTACATCACGTGTACTTCCAAGCCATATATCTATACTTTAATAACTTATAAAATATATTTAATTATCAACACGATGCCTAATCTGCTTCATCTTGCCACATTGCTCACTTTTGTTAGCGCTAAGACTTATTATTTTGTGCCCACAATTAAAGAATACATTTCTTAAAATAGTGAATTTAATTGGTGTAAGGATGTATGTGCAGATGTCTGAACAAAGAAAAAAGAAAACTTTCGACAGCAAAGATCTTTAATTGGTTACCCTTTTAGGGCTGGATTGGTGTGCAATAAATATCATACTCCCATGACTGCTGGTCGACACAGGGTTCAAAGTGGATGCAATGCCATTTTATAAAGAGTTGTTAGGCCTGTATAGCACATTGCATTAAAGTGTTCACCTAAGGATTTTGAATTCTTTTTTTTTTTTTCATAAAAAGTGAACTTTTATCAAATACATGAAAATTAAAAAAAAACTTATTTTATTACAAACTAAAATGTAACTGAATTTTTTTTTTTAAAGTTTTAAATGTTACTGATTTAAAAAAAATCACGTTCCATACACAAACTATTTAAACTAACAAAGAAAGCATGCAATACCATATTTTAACAAAAGCAGAGCACAGCTATCAGTCACATACATGGTTACCGCTGCTTATGCCATCTACATCAGTGGTTCCCAAACCAGTCCTAGTGGTCCACCAATAATCCAGGATTTATGTACTTTTTTGATTCCAATGGAGATACTGACAATTCCTGGACTGTTGGTGGGACAAAACCTGGACTACTGGAGGACTGTTTTTTGGAGCAAAGAAAAAAAATACTGTAGAATGAAAGGAGGGAAAAGGGGGTCATTTCCCTGAACCCTCACCCGCTAAAGGAAGAGTCCAAGCAACATAACAATTTTATTCCATTGTAGTGGCTATGGTCCCAACAGTGCCCTGGTTCCTCGCCAGCATTTCATTTTAGCATGGTTTAATTTGGATGCCCACACTGCTTCCAGTGTTCTCGAGCAGAAGTCAATGTAGGCATTTATTCATAAAGAGAGAGCTTTAGTTGTTCGCTCTTGGCAATGAATAAGCTGTAAAACAACTGTTACAGCGCAGGCACCAGGTGGAAACCAGGTAGGTGGCAAAACATGCGTACAGTATAAACAGGCTACTCTGGGATTATCTCAGGGACACTCCATGTACCATATTTTTAAGGTGCTATGTGTGATACTTTAATATATTAATAAAAGAAACGAGTGAAACTTCATATTGATTTTAAAATGGATCAAATAAAGTTCTTTCTGTTGGTAAATCACCTGTGCACAGAACCATGATCTGGTTTTCATATCCTGTTCTAGCATAACAACATGTGGAACTGGGTCCTCTTTTACAATAAACAGTAGAAATGTGATTGGGTAACACCGCTAATACAGTATAGTATAACTGAGCAATCTTTTGGGTTTATCTATAAAATATTCTAGGTTTTACCTCTCCATTATGGAATCCCTGACACGCGTATCTAATGTTTGCTAAATAATATTGTATCCAGTCCAGTTCTGTAAGGCATTGATTCTTCAGCTTTTTTCTTTTAAGTTTATGTGGAAGGAACTAAAATTAACTACAAAGTAATATAGAACCACTGAATCTTCTTTTCATACTTCTCCGCCAGCAATATGGATTGCCTGAGCATCAAGGGATAATTTGTTAAAGTATAGCTGTCATGACAAATACATCTTACTCTTAAATGATAAAGAATACAATTTCATCTAATGTGCTAGGAAAATTACTAGGATATCTAGATTGCTCAAAAAATCTGAGTTTAAAAAACAGTTATTTTCCCCTCCTCTAAATCAGTTCGGTCTGCACAAACCCTGTGTCAATCAGCACAGAGATAAGCATGTTGTTCCCTGCATGTATGCTATCAGGGAAACCCTACTCTGGGTGTCTAGTCTAAGGGAAAGCAATGTTTTGAAGTGGAAGTAGGGAGGTGGGGCAGGATCTGTGTGAGAGCAGCAGCAACACAGAGAAAGGAAATAAAGAGCCAGAGTGTTTTTTTGTAGCACCTTTGTACAGAAAATCTGAGCAAGTAGAGGGAGAAAAAGATTAGTCTTTACACAAAGCCTACACAAAGTGTTGTAGAATTTTAACCTGGGATATGCAGGAGAGGTGTGTTTTACAGCAAGTGTAAAATATGAGCTTATTTAGGAACATGTAATTGTATAATATGAGTCAAGCCAGATGGTTAGAAAACTGCAAACCTATAGTTATCAAGACAGGTCCAGTTTCACATTCTGGTATAAGAAAGTATAGCCATCAAGGTGCTTAGCATCACCTGAATTTTGGAGACTAACTTTGGAAATCTAACTAAACAGCAGTATTTTCTGAAAATGCAAAAGTCAAAACCTGTTACTTGGATGTAAGCCCTGCACTAACTACTTAAAAATTAAAATGTCATTTCTGCTACCCCAAAGAAAAATGTTTAATGAAATGTGTTTATTTATACAAACAGGACTATTACTAGGTGTAATAAATAGCAGAAGGTACGCTCAGAAGTCAGTTTAACAATCCATGATATTTACTATGGTGGCTAGCAGACTGCCTTCTGAGCATATCTCGCAGATCCAATTCCTTATTGTAAGTGCCTAGAAATCATGATAGTAGGGAAATAGCAGGTATAAGTCTGTCTGTCATAGTTGCAAACAGCAATGTGTCATCACTGTTGTTAGCTATATACAGTAAAATCAGGAAAAAAAATTAAATACCTGTAAAATCTTTATGAAATACATTGGCTTTGTTGGAATTTTACTGAAATTTCAACACAATCAACAGATGTTATAAGACTGTCAGGATTACAAGTTGATCCAGCACGCAGTCACACCTAGGACTAAGGATAACGCATAACTGGATCTTAGAATGGCCAGACTTAACGTCTCCAAGAATAGTCAAAATACTTCCCGAGGTCAGGGACACAGAATCAGACACAAAGATGAGGGAAAGCCAGAAGTCAAGGATACCAGATATCAGAGAAGTCAAAACAAAGCCAAAGTCAAATACCAGAAAATTAAGATCAGGAACGCACTCTCGGATAACCATACATGGGCAATGAAACCATGACAGAGCAATGAGCAAGAGGGGAATTGGGTTTAAATACCCCTCCTGTGGATTCAATTGGCTGTAACTGGCCTTTGACCCCAAAGGCAATAACCAGGTTTTCATGTGCATGATTGCTGCTCAGCACAAACCCTCCTGTGGATTTGATTGGCCATGACCGGCCTTTGACCATAAAAGTAATTACCAGGTTTCCATGTGCATGATTGCTGCTCGGCACAACTTTTCCTGTCAGGACGGTAATGTTGCTCTGCACAACTTTTCCTGTCAGGACAGTAAATGCCATTAACCACATTTTTATGTCCGGATGAATACGTGACAAAGACAAAGTAGGGACAACTTTGCGTAATAAATTTTACTTGCACCTGACAAAACCTGACAAAATACGGAACTACTGCCATCAAGTTATGTCATTTTCCCCAGCTGGTGGTGTATATGGAGGTTCCTTCAATCATGTCAGATCCTCAATAGACATCAGCTCTTCAGCATTGATGTGGGCTCCTCTGAGATGAAGCACCAGGAGACGAACAGGATCCACTGGATGCAGCTGGCGGGCCGTGAGGGACAGCTTCAGGTAAGTAACTTACTTTTCTCTGCACACCTGGGCCACCACCACCACCACCCTGCAAACGGCAAAGACACCATTGAGAGTCTTTGTAAAATATGCTAAGACCCCGAAGGTGATTGAGACACTTTAATATACTGGAAATAAAATATTTTAAATGCTTATGCTACCATTTAGTAAATAGACTATATACTTTTTCTTGCACTCAGAATAGCCATAAAGTGTTCATGGAAAATCCAAATAGTTGTTTAACATATCAATGAAAGGGAAATGTACTTTAGTGTATAAATAGCCAGGATTGTTTAACGCATTTTACATTAGTTAAGACATTAGTTCTGTACCTGTTTGGGTAAATATTTTACTGTGCAAATGCATTCCGATATAAAACATTTCAAACAACCATTAAGCATATACTTTTTCCAAAAGGGTACCTTTTTTTAACTCCAGTTGTAACTGGCAGTCAGACGCATTTTACCTTTAAACGCTTCTAGTAACTATTTACATAACTCTTAGTGGTTTAAAGGAACACTCCAGAACCCTAAATTAGTGCTTTATGTGTGAAGAGTGTGTCCTCATTTTACAAAAAGAAATTGGGACATTTATAGATTAAACTAGTTACATATCACTGGCTGTCAGACAACCGGCCGTGTTAGTTCCTGGTTTGGTTAGCTCAGTGGCGCTAAACTCAAGAGGCAGCAATTGCTCAGAGCACCTGCCTTGCAAAGACTTCTCATTGAGCTGAATTGGGAAGTCTGTGATTGGACAGCCACATAATGTTTAGGCGGAGTTAGAAGGGGAGGGCTGGCAAAGGCTGCAGACAAGAGATCTGCAGCTTTTGCAAGATGTTTTTAGATGTACAACCAACGCAAAAAACGCTTAATGTAATGCATGCATGTTTGAAAATGGCTCAAGTTCTGTATAGACACCCTGGAATGTTGCTTCGTTCTCCTCTTCCTGCTGCTATATAACATCATAATGGCAATTGCAGTTCTGTTTTTTTACACTTTTCTTTAGTTAACAGTAAATCACGATTCTTTAAATTACAATAAATGAAATAGTGCAAAACTCAAGTGGAAGTGAAAATAATGTAAAAAAGTCAAAAGTTCAGCCAGTTCTAAGAGGTCGCGTGTGACCTAAATTTGCCTGGTTAGTCCTGCTCTGAAGCAACGCATTCTTCTTTTTCATCTGTTGTTAGTCTTCTGTTGGGAATCTCACCAATATGGTGAAGCTTCTTCTATGGGAATTCTAGTTATTCTCTGGGTGTTTTAGTATACTATAATTCTGTTGATATCTGGTTGACATAAAAGAAGAACCATTTCCATTTTAATCGTTTTTTTCTGCGCTCCAATATACATACATTGTGTTGTAACTATTACAGTAACCCACAAAAAAGAAGAATTAAAAAAAAAAAGAAGAAGAAGAAGAACCAATTCTAATTTTGTAATATAACATGACTCTCTTTCCCAGCAGTATGGAAAACCCAAAAGGAATAAGGTGCCCTGACCTCAAATTTACCATGAGAGATAGAGGTTTCAATGTATTACTTAAAAAAATAAAATATAAATATTTGTATTGTGCTAATAGAACTCCTTCATGGGATACCATGTAAGCTGCAGCACACTGCGGTCCTGGGGGGCCCGGACTGCTTGGGGAATCCTGGGCCCCACATGCACATATATATAGCGATGATCGCTATATATGTGCATCTTTTGGCCCGCCAGCTACCTGTACACCGCAGGGGAGCCCAGCACAGTCCATCCTCACTTCTCGCTCTGCTCTCAGTCTGTGTAGACTGCGAGACTAAATCTTGCAAGCGCCTCGGTGGTCAGAGCGTTGCAACGGGTTACCATGGCAACGCTCTGCGCGGCTTGCAAAACTTAGAGAAGACCTGCTAGGAAGTGAAGATGGACTGTGCTGTGCCCCTCTGCGGTGTACAGGTAGCAGGGGCCCCGCAGCATGCCATAAGACCACCAGGGAATGTGACCTCCCCCTTCCCTGGCCACAGGTAAGATGCAGGGAGGGGGGAATTAAATAAAATGTATAACAATTAATGTGAAAAAAAATGTATAACAATTAACAGGGAAAAAATGAATAACAATTAATAGGGAAAAAATGAATAACAATTAATGGGAAAAAATTGCTACCCCCACAGTATTAACCCCCACTACATTTTACACACACACACACACACATTGCATTAACTAAACACATGCTGCATCCTTACACACACACACACTGCATTAACTAAACACATGCTACATCCTTACACACACACACACACACACACACACACTCTGCATTAACTAAACACACGTTACATCCTTACACACACACACTCTGCATTAACTAAACACATGCTACATCCTTACACACACGCACACACTCAGCATTAACTAAACTCACGTTACATCCTTACACACACGCACACTCTGCATTAACTAAACACATGCTACATCCGTACACACACATTCTGCAGTCACTAAACCACACAACATCCTTACACAAACACACACTCTGTGTAAGCATGCAGTGTGTGTAGTGACTGCCGAGTGTGTGTTTGTGTAAGAATGTAGTGTGTAGTGAA